AATGGAGTGAGACAATGACCGAGATGAAGAAAAACAGAAAAAAGGTTGTTTTTATCAGATTGATGATTAGATATAAAGGAATCTGTTTATGAAACGTATATATCCAAATAATGGAGGATTAGATTCCCATGCAAAAGTTCTGTTTTCCCTCTTAAAAAAAAGATGTTAAAAGCAGCTTCTTTCTCACGACTAATATCGCTTCAGCAATGGGTCCAAAAGGGGGTTTCCATATCGAAATTTTAGACTTTGCATGGCATGGCCTGTTGTTTCTTATCAAGAAAAGAAAAGCTCATTTCAACAAAAAACTTTAGAGAGGCTTACATTAAAAGGAGAGAACAACAAGAGATGTCTTTCCTTTCTTTGCTTTCCTTTTAGCTTCCCTTCTTTTTTTTTTTTTCTTTCTCTTTTCTTTTTCCTCCTTTTTTGCCCTTCTTTTTCTTTATTCCTTTGTTAAAGTCATGAAAATTCAACCTCTTCTACGTGAAAAAGCGATCCCCTACTATAAAACGTGTGAAGCTTTATCATATGTACAAAGGACCTGTAAGTATATTCTACATATGATCATGAAGAATATCAGAATTAGTTCAGAAAGTACTTCGCCCACACAACATACAATTTGAAGATATCAGCTATAGCTTGATGTGAAATGGTGGTGTGGTCTTTAAATTCCACTAGTGAAAAAAAAATTGCTTTTAATCAGTGACATGACGAAAACATGGCCGACCTTGCATGTGTAAATCTGGGCCCAATTAATTTAAGTTTTTAGAACAAAAAAACATCAACACATATTGTTGTACTTGTTATGATCCAATTAATCAAGTGCTGTGAGAAATCAGAGTTAGGTAGGGAAATGTTTATAGGGTAGAAGTTGGATATTGTTGTACTTTTTACTTGGTAGCAGCGATCATTGCTTCTTAGATAATGAATACATTAAGACATATATGTTAATGTTATGACTTAAACATGATTAACCGGAAAAGCATTAGTAACCGAATGTCAAAAAAGAGATGAAAAGAATGGTGGTTTTTGTGCATATATATATATATATATATATATATATATATGGATATGGAAGAGGGGAACATAAAGGCTGTTGGATCACATGCACATCACATTCTTTTTCGTCTTCCTCTTCTCTTCTTTTTATATACTGTGGCTGATGAACGTTAAAGAAAAGAGATCATAAAAAAAAAAAGGAAAAGGACCCACGACAAGGCTGCTGCTCCTCCTCTTCCTCCTCCTCAATCCAAGGGATTCTTTGTGTTGATCAGCTCAAATTCTGGGTCCCCCCATCATCTTCACCATCATTTCATGCATATATATGAAGTCCCACCTCTCACGTTCTATTCACTGATCTTTCAAAGCAATTGCTTAAAAGTGCCCATTTTTAATTTCTGTTCACTGCCAATAATTTAGAATATAAAAATTAGCAAAATTTCTGGATTCTCTTGCTTCATCGAAATTCGACTTGAATTATTGTAATTTGATCGGATGATGATCGATCGGTTCTGGGAAAATGCAGTGATACTTATAGCCTCGAATCATTTGCCTTGTTGTGTTGATCCAGCTGGCATTCAGCCCAGCCCTGTTCCCTCAGCTTCTTTCCATATTTACTATATATTTTCATCATAATCATACAAATATTATTGCCACCTAATTATCCACCATGCCTGTCAATCATGTCGACCAAAAAGCTTGCAAGTCACCCTGCTCTTGATCACAAATTCCTAACTAGAAATTGAAACGTTACAATAATAAAATTTACTCACTTGCTAACTTAGATTAATCTGGGCATACTTGAAGAGTACTGGACAAGGACGTGAATTTACGGTGGGTTTCAGTCCTTAGGACCACTGTTGCCAAAAGTGAAGCCAACAAGCAATAGAGAGGGGATAACACCTTTTCTTTTTCTTGGTTTCATCTACGGAGCCAAGAACCACATTTCCCTTCTATACGTACAATTTATAAAGTAGGATAATAAGACAATCTTTATAATCTTAAGGGAAGTAGGATTTTGAATGGTGGATCAAAGCAAAGAAGTAAAGTTGATATTTGGATGACTGAAGCAGATGCTTCTGTTAACTAAACCTCAAATTTTGGCTGTATACAGTTTTCATTAGTTGTTATATAATAGATGAGGAAATGATCTACTAATAAGCTAAACTGATGTAGTAATGAGATTATAATATGGGGATGGTGTAAGAGTGCACATGGTAGAAAAACAATGCATTTTTTCAGGGAAACGAGGAAAGACAACACTTGAAACTATGCAAATACAAATATTCCATTTACATATGGGGACCCCTTTGGAACTGAGCCGAGAGCAATTGCAAGGTAGCCTCGTACCCGAGGCAGAGGCTGTGGGTATCACAAGATATATGTTCAGTTTAAAAATGGAATAACTTTGACAGTGCATTGGAGTCCCCAAAAGAATAGTAACTCACGAAAAAAAAAAAAGAAAGGCAAGAGAGAAAAACAAAGCGGAGCTGGAAATGGAATAATTTCAAGAGAAAGAAGCAAAAAATTTAAAAAAAAAGGGGAAAAAAACCAGCTTTATAGGGAATAAGGGAGGAGGTTGGATGATTGAACTGGAGCAAAGTCACTCTTTGGATAAATTTTCAATTTTTTTCTAAATTTTTTATCTTAGTTTTTGTAGTAATGGGATAAAGAGAATGGAAAGTAATAAAAAGGCAAAGGGGGGGGGGGACAATGACAGGACTGAATCGGCTGGGGTTTGCGGTGGGAGGTGGAAGTGGAGCTGGAGCTGGAAATGGAAATGGAAATGGAATAATAATAATCATAATAATAACAATAATGGATAGCATATAGTTGTAATCACGGGGGAAGCATATTCACTTTCCTCTTTGTCATCACTTTCTAAGGCATGATTAGAAATAAGTTCATCAATCTTCTACACCACCTCCCCTAAAGAAAAGCATTTCTCTTCCTTTACCCTCCACTTTGGTCCAAATCTACAACAAGTAATAAGAACTTGTTTCCCAAGACTTCTACATCTACTAATTAGAATATTAGTGGAAAAAAAGTTTGGGGTTTTGGGATCATTACTATTATTTTTTTATGTTTAATTACTTTGTGCATTGACCTTGCAATAGATTTGTCAGCTCAACTCTTGAATTTTGAAATGGGCTCAGCTTCAAATGTTTTGTCTCTCTCTCTCGCTCTCTCTCTCTCTCTATCTCTCTGAATGGGATTAGTAAAGGTGACAATGGCTGTTCAACTACTGGAGTTCTTGATAATAAACTTGTTCCCAACTGCTGATTTGAACACCAATCATAAAACTGATTAGTTGGTTCGGGTACTAACAGGTTTCAGTCAGAAACAACAATGTTCCATAATGTCTTGCATTGCATTACGTGCAAGATGACTGAATTTTATGTACCTAATGTCGATGGCCAAATCGTTTTTGCAATTTGCTATACCATAGCTATTTATCATTTACACATGGTTGCATGATAAGTTCATTTTGGGCCTTGGGGCTGACTAAAATGGACAGAAACAAGAAAAGATGCATGGGATTGGTAGCAAATTGGCAATGAAGAAGGCTGGATCTATCCATTCTTAAAGGTTTCGAACTTCACCCAAATGCGGGCTACTTATCCAAGCCTCGAAAAAGGGCTCTTCCATGGGTTTAGCCCAGTCAGGGAAATGAAGAACTCAAGGCCACCTATCTAAAACCATCATATAAAGGAGTGCATTCCTGGCTCAGGGTAAACCCAAGAAGTACCAAGGTAAAAGAATAGATGCCCCAAAATCTTGACCGTGAAAGCTAAAACAATCAGGGCTACAATTCGCAACTCTCATACGAATGTGAAGTGACTCAACATTTATTAGTTCGAGTTATTCCTATCAGCTCACCGCTTTCTTCTTTTGGGTGAGGATGGAGAGATCAAATTCAAGAAGACACGTTTACAAAGAAAGAAGAGATGCAACTTTTTTAAGAGTCTTGCAAGCCAGGTCATAATAAAACGCGTGTTTCAATGAAGAAATGAAGATTAAACTCAAAGCCTTTAGATATGACATGTTATTAGATGTGTAACCAATCGAATCGATATAATATTAAGTTTAAGAGTTTAAATTTGATTTAAAATTTAAAACTCGAAATTAAATTTGAATTCAATTAAATTTTATTTTTTTAATTTGATTTTGATTTAAAATAAAATCAAACTATTCGGATTCGTTTAATTAAATTCGATTAATTTATAAAAATAAATTTGATTTTTATATTTAATAAAAATTTAATTATTTATGTTCAAATTCGAATTTAAATTTAAAATATTCTATTAATTAAAATAATAAAAATATATTTTAATATAAAAATCCGATTACACTCATAAGTCACTCAAATCAAATATAAAAATACTCGAACTTAACTTTATTGATGAATCGAGCTACTTAAACTCAATTTAATAATAATCGAATCAAATTTAAATTTTATTCTAATCGAATCCAAATAACTTATGAATATTAATGTATTATTTATATCATTTCACTTCACAATTCGGATGTGCATGTGTTAAACACTAACAGTACTGCGACAATAAACAACATGACAGGCTTTCGCCTTTCTGTAGTCTTATGAACAACTTCAAAGACCATGGATCCGTCGCTTAATTACCTTTCTCCCTGTCGTACTACAATATTAACTTTTCGTGCCTGCAACCTGATCGACAGTTGCTTTAGACAATATCACAGTTTTTCTGCTCCAAGTAAGATGAGTTTCTACCTTATCTCGTGTGTGTTTTGGGTGGGGTATTTCTCAAGAAATAACAAAACACTGGTGCGTCAAACAAATAGAGCAATGAAAATGAAATAGTCATAAAGGAAAAAGATACTGGATTTCTTCATCATTTATAAACCGCCAGCCACCTGAGAATCTTTGTAGTTACGTAAAATTCCACCCAACTATAAGCAAGTGTAATCAGTTTATCTCAAAAAAGCATCACAAGTGACTGATAATATACTATGAGCTATCCTTTCGTGTAATAGAGAACCTCAAATATTCTATATAACCAAGCGATATACTCAGTATACTCGATGAGAAACCTTGCCCAACCATTCTTGAAGCATTTCATACAAAACCTGGGATTAGACTCTGACCTACACTCACTTTCTAAATCCCCACAGTATATGTTTCTGCTTCTATATAACCACCTACACAACATAGACTCCATGAACCTCAAATATGTATTGATCTTGTTGTGTTCTAAAACTTATCCAATCATTTAACAATATCTCACATTTCAAGAAACTTCTCATAAATCACATAATATGGTGTCCCTAACAAATTGCTACATAAACTACATTAAACCAGACACAACTGAGCACGGAAAACATGAAAACTACTAGAACAGAATGGAGAACAAGAGAATAACACTGACCACTAATTCAACAACTTAATAAGGTGATGTTGCAGAATTCTCAACATGCAAGACATTTCTTTCAAAGAAAGAATGAGCCTTGGAATGAAAAACCAGCAAACAACAAGCAACCATCAGTATCACAACAATACTAAATATAACTTTAGTATATTAAAGCTTTGATATGTATATCATTACATAAAGACCTCCATGCCAATAACCTTAGATGACTGACACAGGGGGCAAAAACTAAGCTTACTTTCACAACCTTTACACAGGCAGAGATGCTTACAAGGAAACAAGAGCATGCAGGCTTCATTCACTCTGCAAACTTTACAAGTCATCAACTCTTTCATGTCACTATTCTCCTTGCTGAGCAGGTGGAAATCAATGGCTCGGCCATTGCAGCATGAAGCTGTATCATCAACCTCACTATCACCACATCCTTCCTTACTATCTCTACTTTGAGCATAAACTTGCTGAAGACTAAACTTGAGGGCAGTAATCATGTTCTCATTGTATCTGGCACGCTGCTGCCAGGCACCCGCTTCCATGGTCAATTGCTCCATTCGCTCTTCAAGTTCCATATTCTTCTTGTTAATATTCTCCACTTCTGCTTCTTTCTCATGAAGTTTCTGAAAAACTTTCTCTTCCACAAATGAAATTGTCCGAATCTGGTTAGCCTGAACCTTCTCCAACACAGATTGCCGTAATCGGTCACCCTATTTAAAGAAGAGTGGATTAGAAGTACTTTCACTAAAAGTCATTCAAGACTTCTTGTTGACCAATATATATTGTGCAATAAGGATAGAAATTTAATGCTAAAGCAAACAACAAAAAATAGATTTCACCGCCATGAACTCTACAATTACACTATCTCCCATCACTTACAAACATTTGAGTAATTGGTAAATACACACACAACTACCACCAGAACCATTGAAAAAGGGAATAAAAAACAAAAGGATAAACCACATAATCTTAATTCTAAGTGTTGAGAACAGAAACATTATCAGATTACGGCATGACCCAGCACCATAGATTCTTCAAAATTGATGAATTGAAGTTAGCATTACTTACATGGAGGAAAAAGAATAGTTAATTTAATTTAGTTCCGCATTATTTTCTTTAATTTCTAGCATAGATATATTAGCCCTCATTTCTGTAAAGCACACAGTACTAATTTCAGAAAATAACTGCAAAACTAAGCACTTGATGAAGAAACTCATAATTAGCAATAGGGTGAAAAATGCAGATGGTTATAGATATTCAATTGCCATTACTTCTACAAAATAATGAAAATAGAATGGGAAATAGCAGTCCTGTCAGAAAAAAGTTCAAAAGTTTAAGACTTTAAGTTAAAGTTGAAAGAAAACACAATGAACAAATGCAGGACTAGCAAACGCTTGACCCACTCTCATTAGCACATTGCAGCCAGATAATGACAATAACCAAATCAAGACCGGATAAGACAGAATAAGAAATGTGTTAAGTGCTAGGAACTGCCTTATTCGGAGTTAACAGAATTATTAACCAAAACAAGAAACCATACCAAAGAAACAATCCGAAACAAACATTAACAGCAAAAATTTAGCATAAGAGCATGATAAACGCATATGCATTCAATGACCATAAAATCCATTATCATCCATATATGGCACAAATGACATCCTAAAATAATAAATTGATCCTTACAACAATCATGGAAGCTAATGAAACATGTTTTATTTCCATTTAACTATATTCAAACAAGAAGCTAAAAGCCACAAAGCCAGACCTGAACTTTAAGGAATCTATCAATTTCCACATCCTGTCGCTGCAACTCAAGATCAATGTCCTCGCCAATGAGTGACAACAAGGCTGAATCACCCGAAGAAGCCATCCGATTATTATTATTATTATTACTATTATTATCTAGTGACAAACCTAACCCTGTTGAGACTGACTGTGCTTGAAAAAAATCGACAGAAGATATCTGCGAATTGTTCTCCAAAAAATCCTGTTCCTTTAATTTCTTCCGTTTAGGATCAACCCCGTTATTCCATTGCAACTCAGCTCCTCCATCACTTCCATCTGTCACCGGAACTGGACCCGGTGCAAACCCAACAACATGAACTAAACCAATAAAACAACAAACAAATAAACAAATAAAAATACAACATACCCAGTAGTTATAAGGATTTTCTTCATGAATGAAACTAAAATCCCAGAAATATAATAAAACAAAGTTCCAATTTTGATGCTTAAAAAAAACGAAGTGAGAGAGATACATGGCGGGATATAAGGAGGATGCTGAGACGAATCCTGTAAATTAGCCGTATTGTAACAAGCAAGTGGCGGCGAAATCTGACCGTCGATTGCGTATAAATTCCTGAGATCAAACATAGAAAGAAACATATTATAAAAAAAAAAAACTAGGGCTTTATTTTTCTTTAGCAGAAAATGAAATTGATTCTAATAGTAATTAAAGGTTTAAATCTATTTTGAGGGGTTTACCTGAAACTTTTAGATTGTTGTTGAGGCTGGTAGTGTTGTTGAAAATGGTGCTGAGGGGACGCCATTTTTTTTTGGAGCGATGAGTTTTTTTAGAGAGTGAAATGGGATATGAGTTGTTTCTGTCGTATAGAGAAAGAGGAGATGCGCGAGGTGGCCGATGGAGAATATTCCTTTTATTCCTAGTTTGGCCTCGATATTTGTTTTATTTTATGATTCGCTTCCGTAATTCCTTTAATTAAGCAAAAAGACCCCTTCTTGATTTGTTTCTTACGAAGTTGGCTAATTTGGAGTGGGAAAATTAAAGATTAATCATCCCGTTATTCATTTTTTAGGTCTAATAAAGTTTAAATTCTTTCATTTTATGATTTTTTTAAATATATAAAAAATAATTTATACTTCAAAAGCAAATACAATTATTTGTATTTATAGGAATATAATAATTTTAGTAGTAGTAGCATTTTTTTTTGATATGGTTGTATTTCATATTTTGATTTTTGCCAGTGTAATTCTGGGTTAAGAATAAAAAGATATTGAAATATTAAAATTTAAAGTTCAAGTCTAAAGCGTTTGATTTAATTTTATATTATATTTATTTAATTATATGTTAATTTATCAATATTATTTAATTCATCAAATTTTTATATTAAAAATAATACTTTTATAATCCTAACTTTTTATATTATTAATTTCATACAAAAATATGACTTTTGAAATGCTATTAAAAACTAATTAGTTTTTTAAAAAATCTAATTTAATAGTGCAATTCAAGTAGTAGATATTCTTTGTGTCAAGTAGAGAGATCAAATAGTTACCACTTACAACATTCAAATTTTTAATTATTTTTGTGACAGTATGGCTGGCTAAGGAGGTTTTCAAGGACATTGAAATTTTAGTTTCATACCAAAACATCTTTTGATTTTTTTTTTTTATCGATTATGTCCATCCATCGGAAAAAATAAATATTTTCTAAGTTGTTAATGTCATGTTGTGACCATTAATTAACATATTTTTCTCAAATTTTTATTAATTTATATTTAATATATTATCAATATATAAATTTTATATACTGTCAATAAGTCAGATAATATCATTTCATTAATAAATAAATATCAATCTTTAAAATAAATATACAAAAATTAATATTTTTTAAAAATTTTATTTATTAATAAAATGATATAATCTGACTCACTTCATTAATGAGATACCATAATCTTATTCAGTGTCAATATATAAAATTTATACACTAATTATATATCAAAAAACTAAATCCAAAATTTATTGTCTCTAATTCTTCGTATTGAAATATCTCATGAAAAAATCAATATTAGTGAAATATATTTTGGTATTCTATCATGTATATGTACATATATTTATATAGAGCAAAGCAATAATGGTTGGAATTCCTTTTCATGCTAGGAGAACTTGGGGTGCAACCACATGGTGAAATTCATGACAATAAAAAAACTATATTGTCAAGTTAAGCACAATAATATCATGTTGGGAATTGAAGAAGGGAAATTTAAAAGTGTTACGATCCATCTCCGGGTTTTGTCGGAATCTATTTCATAATTATCTTCACAAACATCTAATCTAAGTTTACTATAACTTATAAAAGAATAGATAAGACAATATTTACCTAACACGCTATTTATGTTTAAGTTTAACATTCATATCGAGATGTTTTAAACATGTTTAAAACATTTATTGGTCCATGTTTTAAACATGTTAAAGTTTCACGACTTGAAGGGTTTGGTCTAATGCTAAATAGTTCTAATTTTATTAATTCTCCAGCTGCCCAATTCGACTTTAGTCAGAACAACAGGTTTTGGTCTAAACACGAGTACTCGAGCACATGGATTCGTCCTAGTTGCAATGTTTTCAGTCAGAAATTGGTCTCGTTGGTGGAGATCAACAACGAGTTAACCCCCAATTATACTGTCTCATGTTGTTAGGCCATGATTAATCTAACCCATTAACGGATTACTTAATCAGATGCCATTCAGAAAAAATCTGAAGGATGTGAAACAAATCAAAATGAAGAAATCAAGAGGCACACCAAAATCCAAATTGGAGGCAGCGTTAATGGATCAGGCTGGCAAACAGGGCAGGGGCAGCGATGATGTCCTCAGCTTTTCAGTAGTTATCAGGGTCTTTAATGGAAGCGGCAAGTACCATCAATTTACATGTGACTTCTGTCTCCCCCATAACAAATTATTCAACCTTCTATAATTCTCCCTCTCTTTGACGCAGGCAACTGATCAGTTTCCAAATCTAAAGTCTCGTCCATATTGGCCAAGCTCATCAAGAATCACATCAATGGCATCCACATTTCTCAAAGTGCTTCTTCTCGTCTCAATGCTACTCACTGTCAGCGCTCAGGTTGATCTTACAGCTTCGAGTTCCTGCTCATGACTGAGGTGATTGAATGCCCCTGGATGATGTTAGTGTACGATGAGTTGGGTACCATAGAAGAGGAAGAGGGCCCTACGAACCAAAGATCTCTTAATATTTTAACAATCAAAGAAATTTTGGTCATTGAATAAATCATATAGCCATCTATAATACAATTGAACTAATCAGAATTGCCATTTTCTTTTCTAGTTAATGTCGGGGATATTTTTAGGTTCAAAAGGCACTCCGATTATTTTTTTTATTATAAATTATTAATAAATAATTATAAATATTTTAAAATTTTGAATTGACTTAAATATATCAAGTAGATTGATACGTTCAATATCACATTATCATTATATTTCATAAATTTTTCGTTTCGCAAAATAAAGATATTTAAATACTGTCATTTTATTTATATTTTATTAATAAATTTTTTTATTTTTTTCTCATTTCGATTTTTTTTATACCGATATTTAATTTATCATTAAAATGCAAACATAAAAAATTCTTTTTACTCTTACTTCTAACTGCTATTTTCTCTCTCTTATAATTCTACAATTACCAACAGTTAGATTTCATGGCTGAATGAAGGGTACCTCAAACCCCATCCAAAAATTCGTTACTGTAGATTGTTTGATTTTGTTCAATCTTTTGGAACCAAAAACTAACCTGTTGTTCGACAAAGGGCAGTTAAGGACCTTTTCTTTTCTTGGGAAAGTAGGTTTTAACCTCACCAATATTGGTCAGATTAAACTTTCCAGGACTTGTTGACAAGCATACAAGGCCTCATCTGGTGTGTGCATTAAGTATTTTGCAAGTTGCAGTTCTTTTGAAACAACTTGAATAAATCAAAATTTCTGTCCAAATATTTTTAGCTTTCCAGGTCTTGCCTATCCTGTTGGAGTTTAAGCAGATACTAAATGTAAAAAAGAATAAAAAAGTGATCATACTTTTTTCCTCTTATAATGTTAAGAAATCCTACCAAACGTTGTTTAAGAAGACAGATTGGCATTATTGATTCCAGTCACTGATTTTGAGATCATTCTGTAATTGATCATGGATCCCTGATTCCTGATAATGATCATGTCTCATTTTTTGATAAACTGAATCATGTTCCTGAGAGTAAACATGTGCACGAAAGAAAAGGAGATCCACATGCCTGAAAATGGCTTCAATTTTGTCTTTCATAATATAATATTCACGAAAAATAATGAATGTCTTCATTTCGTGCTTATCAGGGACATTCCTTGCAAATCACATGGCCAACGAGTTTTGCTGCAACAAATCAGTGGTTTCAGCTCCATTCTGCATTTCTGTCAAGATTTTTACTCTTTCTAGAATAAAATTGAACAGAAGCAAGTTTAAGCTTCTACCAATTGTGCAATTGCAAATTTTTTAATCTCAGTTATTACCTCCAATTATGTTAGACAATTCTTTAAATAGAAAATATTGATCATAAATGGCCTGGGAAAAGCTTTAATCTATTTGTTGCAACAGAAAAGAAAAATTAAAGCTGCTCCAGCATCCAGCTAACCAAATTATATCAGCAACAAAAAAAAAGTAAGTTGATTCCTTCAAACTTAAACTTACTCAACCGACAGCTGAAATTTTCCCTAAAATATTTAAAATTAAAGGTGTAAACAAACATAACATGTAATAAATAGTGGTGAACAAATTCAGTGTCCGATTGTTTATATTTATTTATTGAATTTAATAAATAATAATAAATAAAATTTTAATATTTATTAATTAAATGAATAAATTATCATTATAATAAAGTTCATTTATTTATTTTTTTTAAAAAACCCGACGATATAAACTTTATTAGGGTACGATGAACTTATGTATCGGTACATTACTAAAAGAATTAATTACATTTAAGTAAATATAATTTTAAAAAATAAATTATTTCTTACTTTAACATTTAAACAAGGAAAAAAGAAAGCAAAAAGTTATCACTCACAGGTCTCCAACGAATCCGTTTACTCACTTTTGGGCACACGGGCAGCCACAATAAGTCCACAACCGCCTTCCTCACATCCTGCCCGGCATCTCCAAACGTGCCCGCTTAGCTGTCTCTCGTTCATTTCCCACTTCTCTCCAACAAACGAAGAATAACAAATTAAGAAAAAAAAAATAAAAAATAAGACAGATAAAAAGGCTATTCGAGTTCGACGTGTTTTCCATGTGATTCGATCTGTCAATCGTAAGTGCAAGATTTCTTGAGAGAAATGGGAACGTTGAGTTTGTTGAAATCGAAAGTTATGTCACATTCGATATTCTTGTAGAACTTTGGCTTAACCAATTTGCCCAAGACATAAGCTTTTGAACGGACAACCAAGTTCAGTTTGAGTGAAACTGGAAGAGATGTTGTGCCAGTTGAACTGCTCAAACTTGCTCCACTTCCGTACAAAGGGACCTTGTTTCCCATCACTGTTACAGTTACAGAGCTTTGGCTCTTCCTTGATTGATAAAATTTCTTCATCTGAAATACCCGAGTTCAACAAATCTAAGACGATAGAGCTAAGATTTTGATTCAATGGAACTGGTAAGTACTCTTTTGTTTGAAAGTGGACTTACGGTTCCTGAAGCAATGTTGATTTGAGAATATGACAGATCTAGAGGAGTTGATGTGACATGGACGCCAAAAAATGTTCCAGCGTTGCGATAAATCATTTTCACTGTGGAATTCACGGTGATCATATCAGTTGCCACCCCTGTGAAATCTGAACCAGCTTGGATCTTGAATTGCTCAAATTTTATACTCTACAGGACAAAATTAAACAATCAATCATAATCCATTTCGTAATGCAACCCAAAAATAGCTCAAAAGAATGATGAAAAAAAAAAGAAAATAATGAGAGAGATTACCATCATTGTGATCTTGGGTTTCTGGGGTCTGCTAGCTCCCCAGAGAATCAAAGAAAACATAGAGAACAAAATAAAGAAGCCAAGAACAAAAGCTACGAAATAGCATCTTCGAGGGAGTCCCTTCTCACGCTCTTCATCTTCAAGGAGCCCTTCTTCTTCAATCACATCACATTCTTGCCACTGCTTATGTCCCTTCCCATGTGCTCCCCTGGACGACGCGTCGTTAGGCGAGATCTTGCGAGATCCGGATTTAAGAGACCCAGAAAACCGACTCGATGAGGACTCACGCGAGTGGCGACCCACGGAGGAATGGGAGTGTGGTGGTGACCCCATGGGGCTGAGCACCGGCGTGGAATGGAACGACGTCGTAACTTTTTCTCCATCGTGAGAATCATGTGAAGGGCTCTGCACATAGTAAACTGGACGCCGCGGGGACCTCGTTGGCGATGATGGGGCGAGGCTTGTGACCTCTGAGTCTGTCTTAGCGTGCATTTTCGGCGGCCTTTCCTTCAGTTCTCACCCAACACTAACCAAAAACCTGTCTTTTGCGTCAGTTTATGTTTTATTATATGGATTTGCGTGAGTGTTTGATGATGTATTTATGAAGGAGTTTGTCTGTCAAAGAGAGTCAAATTGAAGAACAAGTATAGACTTTTGCTGTAACGCTTCGAATATAATTTTAATTTGCCTTATCAAAGTGAATATATATATATATATATGTGTATGTATGTATGGCTGTAGGACAACCAAAAGAGAAAGTGGTTTTTATTTGAGTGCGTTTTGAGTTAGGGATAGGTTTGGATTTAGGGGGTTACAGAGAAGAAGCAGCCAGGAACTTCATTACCCAACAGCCATGTTACAGTTGGCAGCTCTTGCTTGACACCGCACCACCTAACATTATTGTTCTTTCCTTTATCACTTCTACTCTATTTGCCTTTTTTCCTTCCGCCACTATTGCTTGTTATCAAGAATCAGACAATCGTAGGAGTATGATGAGGGGGGAAAGAGATTTGGGCTTAATCTTGTTTGTCTGCAAATCATGCCTAACAGTTGTACTTGATTCAAGCAAGATTTATTCTCACAATTGGATCTCTTTGAGCTTGTTTAGTATAGCTTTAAAACGGTTTTTTAGATCCTATAACAATTACCATTAGAATTTCATTTGAAAATATATCCTCCCACTTAAAAAAAGACTAATTTGTGAAAAAAAAAAAGCCTTTAGCTATACAAAAAAAAAAAAAAAAAAGTTTGTTCCAGCAATTCTTATTAAGTTGTACTCAAGTTAAGCACAGACAAATTCATTGTTAGCTTCAGAGTTCAGCTTATTGGGCATTGGACAGGCAAATGAGAGGTGTTCTTCTTTCCGACTGGTTGATGGACAATAGACAACACTGAACATAGCATCTGGCCAGAGACTGACCATTCATAAAAAACATAAACATGTCGCTTGTGGTTTGACGATTTGTTTTATTTCAGGATTAGAAGAGAAAGAGATGCCGAACCAAATGCGGATTTGTGGGTCATCCTCGCAATCTTTTCATCAACGGCGGGGATCTAAAGTTTGTCAATGAGGGCTCTACAATAAACCATGTGAGCCCATGTGGAAGGACACCTGCTCACGAATTTCTCTTACACGGGGATAGTTCTGTCTGATTACAAAGAGAAGGTTTGGGAAAACAAATACGCAAGAAAATATAACATAAAGGAGCCAAAGACTAACACCCCTGTAAGCTTTAAAATGCTACTGCTACATCTTTTCACAAACATTTTTTTTCCGGGTTGGTTCACAAATTAAGAGGTGCTTGAATGTTTTCCTGGAACATTCTCCATGATGAATTTTTAGCATTCAAGTATTTCAAGCTGATTTAATTTGATTTAATTCTACTCCTTCCAAAAAAAAAAAAAATGACAGATGAGAGCTGGTTAATAGAACTTCAGCGATGCAGATGACGATTAGACTCCTGAATCCTAACAAATTCACGAAATATATAGATTGCAATATCTCATCTCCACTACCTTTATTCATCGAGTTCCATAAGAATGATTAGCTTCCCTTTTTGGATTCATAATGATTAGCTTATTATTATCCAAGAAAACTTGTCACGGTTCCTCTTGAGAAAGTGCTTGGCGATTGAGAGCAAAGGATAACTATGGCCCTGTGGGATACGACTCGGGAGAACCTTGGGGAGGCTTGAAATCCTGAAATTTCCAGTAGCTAATGCGCTTGAAGTAATTTTAATATTGGCCTGCTAATTACTATGGTCCATGGGGACCTTGTGAAATCTCATCCTTTTTGGCCCAAATGTATTTCGGCTGAAAGGATCGTTGACTCATTTTCATTAAAAGATGGGGCCTCGAATAGCTTTCAACATTGGATTTTTAATATTTGACTGGGCCAAACACCCTACATCACTGTAACAAACCTAGGGCAGTCCAATTCTTTTCAGGCTCAAATTGAAGGATAGATCATCCATAATATTCATATTATAATGGCAACTATAAGTCCATCATATACTTTTATCTAAAATTCGCCTTTCCCCAGTCAGGCACGAGTCATGACAAATTGACGATCGATCAGCAGACATATCATGTATGTAGGATTATCCGGTTGACTAGATCAGATAAAATTAAAAGAAAACAAAAACAAAAAGCTTGGAAGAAAGAAATTTCTACGTTTCATCTCACAATCTTAACTGGCATGTTGATGAAATAAAGTCGCAGCGTTTGCAGCATCTACCCTATCAAACTACAATCTCTAACGCTTTCCCTTTCCAACTCCTGAACGTGAAAGCACGAGTTCCAAATTATCAACAGAAAATGGTGGACCCAAAAATGTGGAAAAAAAATTTCCTGCCCATATATGAGATTTTAGCGTTTTCGATTGCAGAATGCAACACGAGTAATATACGCTTCCCTTTCCGTTTTCTAATTCCTTTTTCTGTTCAAGATAGAGGTGCGGAATCGGGTTTGATGGCATGTTGTTTGTTTGCAAGCTAAGAGGAGAATAATGTACTCCATAGTAATTGCTAAAAAATAATTCGATTATATCCAAAATAGGAAAAAAAATAATTTCCTCCATAATGATTGATAAGAATAATGATTCAAAATAAGCTAAAGCCTAATGAATTAGGGAGCATTGACTGGCCTAAATGTCTTCCACGAATCTGAAAGTATAGATAAATGAAATATCATACTAATAGAAAGGAAGGCAGTCAGGAAATTGTTGCCTCAATCGCCCTGGATGTGACCAATTATAAAAGCCGATTAAAATTGTATGCTACAACTTGATCATTAATGATTAATGCGTTTATGATAGAAGTTGTTATGATATCGTAATCGCTTGCAGTTGTATGCAAGCCTCCATTATTCCATTTTATAAAGCAGAGTAGCAACATTTTCACATCCATATATCCATCCTACTGAAAGAAAAAGATGAAAGAGTCCTTTCCGCAACATTGTCTCCCCTTTCGTGTATTTTGCATGGATAATTTTTTGTAGGTCATGTCATTTAGACACATTTTTTCTGTACACATTGGAAAAGGTTTCTCTGATTTTAAATGCTTTGGGTCAAAAATTATGTCTGAAATGTTGTTAAATTATTACTAGCTGAAAGAAGGGAAGAAAGAAAACAACTTCATGGAAAGTACCAGCAATTTGTTTTGTAGACTTGTATGGACGTAGGACCCAAAGCATTGTAAGGAAAAGAATATGTCTTTAATTCGAGTGATTAAAATTTAATTTTGATGACCTCAATTACCAAAAAGTGCTCTTTCCTTTGGTGGATGGTGGATGACTAGACTTTATGTAAAGTAAATTTTATCAGTTATCACTTTTGTGTGACTTCTAAGAAGATTCTGAAATTCATCTAATAATCATGCATTCAACAGGATATGATCAAATATTGACCTGATGAGACACCGTCAGACAAGCAACAACAACCAGTTGATCAATGCTATTAATTATTGTCCATAAAGTATTGATTTTAAATTCACCTTTTTTTTTTTTATGTCAAAAGTTTCAACTTTCAAGTACTGCAGGGGTTTTTTCCTCATTTACTTAGAACATACCAATAATTAAAGCTAGAGTCTAAAAATTTGTTTCAATTTCTTTAATTAAATATGTTTTGACAGTGAAAGTTACAGAAATGGAACCGTACAAAAACCTTAAAAATCCCACAGCTGCAGCCTGGAAACCTGAAACTGGATAGTTTAATCACAATTCACAGGATACCATGTGCATTACTTAACAACATTGTAAATTCTTTATTTAACATAGAAACTTGAAGATTAAATGTTTAGAAATCAAGTTTGGTCATTTTTCCGTGCTGTAGCTTGTGGCGACTATGGGACTTCTGACAACATGTTTTCGTCCGCTATCTTCCCAAGTGAGAAAACCGAAAGACACTGCCTCATCAAGCTGTCTTGGACCTTCTATACTCAACTTGAAGTTTTTCTTCTCGTTTTTTGCATTAAAGACCAACGTCGCTGGTTCGACAGTTACCTTAACTCCCTTGATTGGTGTAACTGTTGCTTTGTAGGCGGAGCTTCCTTCTACAACATTAGTCACCGTTCTTTGAAATTCCTTCACAGTTTTCGAATTTGATTGTGCATTCCTGTCATTAAAATACGCAATAAAAGAAGGGTAATTCAGATCCAGAGACGGGTTGGAACAGTTATTTGAAGATGATTTTGTGATGGTTTTAATTTGTTGTGCTGTAAAGTTTAGCCCGCAAAGAAGATTAACGTAATCTTCAACGGTAGCATCGTATACCAGTCCGGGGTCTAGCGCTTTGTTGGGATTGATATGGCCAGATCCCATGGCTAGCGGAGTGGCAGGTCGGAGATTGCTGCCTATATCCTTGATAGGACTGCCCGTGTTATCAATGGGATCAGATGTAGTCATCAAGGCAGATCTGATGGCTGCTGGGCTCCAACCAGGATGTGCCGCTTTTAACAGTGCTGCTACTCCTGACGCATGGGGGCATGCCATGGATGTTCCCGATAGTAAATTGAAGTTGCTAAACAAAGAGTCCTCATTTACACGGGCCACTGCTATGTTTGAAGGCCATGCAGCTAGGACTGAGTCACCAGGGGCCATAATGTCAGGCTTCAAAACCGATGGACAACTGTAGGATGGCCCTCTAGAGGTATAGCTAGTTACAGTCGGTGAAGGTTTAGTACCCTGGAATGTCATTTTAAATTCAATGCTGGCTTTTGGGTCTGTGTTGCTCTTAATGTAGTTCACGACCGTATCACCATCTTTTTGTTCCAAGAAGATGGCTGGAAAAGGGCTCTGGGTGAATATATCCACATTACTGTTATTCGTTATGAAGACACCAGCAACATTTCCTGCAACTTGAATGTTGTTAAATTGGTCATTGAGGGAATCTTCCTTGCCTGGATCTTGGCACACTATAATCTTTTGCACAAGTTTCCTCAATTCACTCGTTTTGTCACATGCGTCCATGAAAACAATTGGGAATTGGCTTGACGAGAAATTCCCTGGATAGAGAGCCAAACCATTGACCAAAACTTTGCTTCCGAGACTTAAAGTTGCGCCTAAGTCTCGATCCATGGTACCAGCAGCGACAGTTAAAACCCAAGGGGTTCCATTGTGTAGGGTCTTTAATTCTGGTCCTGCATTCCCTGCTGATGTAGAAACAAAAATATTCTTCTCTATCGCAGCAAATGTGGCTATTGCAATAGGGTCTTCATACAATTCAAGCTCATCCAAGCCCAATGACATGGAAAGAACATCAACCCCGTCAGTAATTGCTTGATCAATTGCAGCAATTATATCTGTCAAGTAAGCTCCTTCGTCCCACAGGGCTTTGTACATGGCGACCCGAGCCGCTGGGGCCATTCCTCTGGCAGTTCCCTTGGCATAGCCAAAGTATGATGCATCTTGCACATAAGTTCCAGCAGCAGTTGTTGAAGTGTGGGTCCCGTGACCGTCTGTGTCGCGTGGAGAATTAATTGAGATGGTGATATTGGGATCGTGGGCAATCAGACCTTTATTGAAATACCGCGCACCAATGAGCTTTTTGTTGCACATTGAGGAGTTGAATTGGGTTCCATTTTCGCATTCTCCTTTCCATTTTGATGGAACATCACTCATTCCTTTATCATTAAAGCTTTCGCTTTCTGGCCAAACCCCTGAATCAATCAAGCCGATAATAACATCTTTGCCAAAATTTGACACCGGCCACGCACCTGTGTCCGAATTCAGGCCAAGAAATTTGAAAGAATAAGTGGTATCAACCTTGACAGTTCTGTCTCTGACGGAAGAAACATACCCTGGAGCGTTTTTCAAGGCCTCAAGCTCTGCCGGTGTGAGACTTGCACTAAAACCTTGAATAACATGGTTATAACTATAGATAAGTCTAGAAGAGGGGATTGTTGCATTGGTGTTAGCTTTCAAGTTGGTTGATAAAGATGCAAGGGTGGCCGAGTACCAGCCTTGCTGGCCGGAGAAGGCTTTTGGCATGGCTGATATGTCCATGTGGACAATATAATTGTCAGCTTGTACTAGCTTGGTAAAGATAAATGAGATACTAAAGGAAAGCCACACGTACAAGAGTTTGGTATGATCAGCTGCCATGGTAGAGAATTGGAATTGGCAACCGATGTTTTTTTGTGTGAAACTATTGTGAATTTGGTAAGCTTATATAGCGAATTGGGAGGCGTGGGAACTTGAAGTTTTTCTTTCATTATAAATGTCTAACTAACTTGTCCGAATGATATCCAAATAAGAGACCTCTAAAGTCTTAACTACATATTTTTCTTTTGTGAACCTACTATACCTAGGCTCTGCCGATTCGATCAGGGCCATTCAATTAGGACCTTAATTTTAAACCTTCCCCGATTAATTAAATCAAATGCACCTTTATTAAAGGTCAGAAATGGAGACAAAGTGGAAGACGTTGGTGTGAAATTGTTCGTTTATTCATAAGCTCCTGTCCATTACACAATCACATACTCAAAAGATTATTCGACTTTTGGAGTATCTCTCCCTGTTAACATCTTCCTTCCAAATTGGTTTGTATAACACGGTAGTAGCTGGCTTGAAAGAGTCAGTTTTTGATGATATCCGCGAAGGGTGGAGCAAATTCGCTATCTACGATCACAGACAAAAAACCATCAATGATGATTGGAGCTCCTAGAGACCCCACAATGTGCGAGCTCACAATGGAACAAGTCCTATATCACTCCATATAATCTTGACTTGTTATGGTCAAGTGAATTAATTTGTCCTTTGTCTGAGAAATTAAAACAGCTAGCTATTTGTAAAGCTGGCCATTTATTTATCTCTGCAGTCTTTTACACGGGTTTATCTGTCATGGGCAGTCATCTACCTTTTTTGTAAACATTTGGGCTAAAATAGTGCTAAATATTCTCGGAGACCTGAAGATAATTTTTTGTTGGAGGGTCGCTTCAATCCTGTATTTGTTCAATGTAAAATGGTTATTCCAGAAGTAATTTTAAAGCAGAAGTAAACGGCTTCATAATAACTTGACTAAGACTAAATTATCATGACTTTTCCTTTACTATTGGATGAAGAAAAGAAAAAGATTGACATCAATATCATATTTAATTTGCCCAAAGTGGAAGTTAAACGCGTAAACTTTAGATGCATGCTGGGTGGTAAACAAGGGGCAAGCACCGAGCTTATTGTGGCATTTTCCATCGCTTTGATTTGGTCAAATTAAACCGAGTGTAACGAAAGCATCCGATTTTTGAGTTGTTTTTTATTTTTATTTGAAGGTCTTATAATTTTATTTATAAAATTATTTTCAAAAATACAAATTTAAATCTTTATATATATATATATATATTATAATAAATATATTCCAAGATAAAATTGAATCGTTGCACTAAAAGATGCTTGTGGTAATTAAGAATTTGTTTTATTGACATGAGGGTGACTATTTACATTTTTAACATACTGTAAAATTCTATTTTATAGATCTTTTTTATCTTGCATGTTAATTGTAAAATAATTTTTGTATACTTAATTTTGTAGAAAAGGGAAAAAGAAAAGGGTGTCCAAGTGGCACCCTTCCTTTCCTTTAAAATCTACCATTTTTGCCTTATTTTTTATTAATTTTATTAAGTTTTAATTTTTTTTTTTTATAAATTTTATGAAAAAAAATAATTGAAGTATGAATGATAAAATAATTTGTATTCGATTTATTTTAATTTGTATTGATCTAACATATGTGTTTTTTTTATAAAAAAATCCAAGAGTAGGTTAAGATTTTTTTAAAAAAAATTGAGTGAGATCAAAGATGAATTTAAAATGTTTTATCTCATTTTGGATGTCCATATAACACCTCCTTTTTTTATATTTTTTATTTTTTATTAGATAGATTTTATAATAAAAATCAATTGAGATAAAAACACCAAATGAATTTATTCGATGGATTTGGATTTACAATGATCCAATTGATTTTTTTAATTTAAAATAATTAGATTAAATTTTTTAAATCAAATTAGAGTAAAAATAAAGTTTTAAGTATTACGCTTTAATCATAATATCTTACCATATGTCTTTTTTTATAATATATATTTTTCTCATACTTGCTTCTCTATATTTTTTTCTCTACATGTAACTCTCATTTTTTTTAACTTTATTTTCCTTCATCTCTCTTTCTAAAGTTCCTTATTCTTTCACAACTACTTATATTTACCTTTAAGCATTTGTTAAATATTTTTATTTTTAATTTCTAAAGAAATATATATTTTTTTGTTTATATGTTATCATCTATTAAAATTTGATATAAAAACTTTGCTCCTTCCACATTTAAAACATGAGTTTAATTCTAATATATAATAATTTTTCTTTTAATTTCTATCTATAATTTAATGGGTATAAGAGGTATTTTATCTTGTGTGGTCTTTCTTTTAATAAATTAAGAGGAAAGCAATTAAAGCTATACATTTGTTATATGAAATTTGTAACGCTTGCCTGCAATAATGTAGGAGTGTAATCTTCTTCAGACAAAATAGGCGGCTGAGCTCAGTATCCGTACACATAGCTTTATAACTCTTGTTAGGTGACTGGAAATTGTGGGAACATTAGAATTATAGCACATGATTTGGCCTTAAAAAAAAATATAGGCTGATATGCTGAATATAAATCCTTCTTTTCGGCTTTAGTCAATTCTTTTCATCCCTTTTGTATGCTTCAGAAAGCAAACAGATCATTGGGGATAGATTTCTCCAGGACTGTTTTTCTTGAGGAAAAAGATCTTCAAAAATATTTCAGTTGAAACTGGTGAAGCTCTTGTTGCTGATAAATGTCTCAGGACATGACTTAGCGTAAGTGAACTCTGGAAAGAGATTTTAACCAAGGAATTAAAAAAAAATGAATCTAACACGCGTGGACATGTCTCTTTTCCTAGGAGAAACTTCCTCACAAGGAATCGTTTCTCGTGGACTAAGCAAGATGGAAGTTCTATACTATTTTTCAATCCATGATCGTTACAACTTACAACATGGGCCCAAACCAATTAAAAACAAAGGGGAAAACAGGTTGTCGAGCTTTGACAATAGCTCAATTAACCCACAATTTAGAGGCAAATTGCTTCCACGTTTGATGGCAGCAGCCGGTCAAATTTCTTGAATCATTGTCCATATGGGTCCTTCCACAGCAAAACTTGCAAGAAATCACCGTCACTAAAGGCATAGAAGATTGATGATGTCGTAAAAGAAATGGCTTGTACACAAATTGAATCCTTGGAATGGTTGGCCTTAATCTAATTCGATCATAAGAAACGAAGTTTGGGATGGGAGATGAAGAAAACAATTGTTACCTGCATGTTGGATCTTTTGATTCCAGCACAGAAAGCAAAGAGCAATGCTAACTATATGAATATAGACGGTTAAAAGCATATTATTCAGTACTCGTATTTGCGAAAATTAGTTCAATACTTAACACAGATCTTAACCTTAAAGCCCATAATAAATAATCTCAGGAACACAGATCTTAACCTTAAAGCCCCTAATAAACCATCTCAGGAACTCACAAGAGGTGACACCACGAGAGGGCTTCTAACTTTGTGTTTTCCATTTACTTCAACCCAAACAAGTTCACCGAATGAAACTTTCCCCTTCTTGTTACTGCTGTAACTTATAGTCACACAGAAGCTTTGCTTCTCATATGTATTTGCAAAGACCAATGTCTCTGGCGAAACAGCAATAGTTGAACCAGCAGGCTGCACTATCTTAACCTTGTAAGTTACAGCCCCTTCTCCGACATTTGTCACAGTCCTACGGAATATTTTGCCTATAGTTTCCGTCACATTAGGATTGTATAAGGCAATAAAAGATGGGTAATTAAGATCAGAAGATGGATTCGAGCAGTTGTAGCTCTTTGATCTTGTGATGGTCAAGATTTGTTTCTCTGTGAAATTCATTGTGCACAAAAGATTCACGTAGTCCTGTGGGGTTGCATCGTAGATCAGACCTGGATCAAGTGCTCTATTTGGATCAATTTGGCCTGCTCCCATGGCTAAAGGTGAAGCAGAAGACAAATTGTCATCACCATTATCCCTGATTGGTTTCATAGTGTTATCTAATGGATTCGCAGTAGTCACCAAGGCAGACCTTATAGCAGCTGCACTCCACTGAGGATGAGCACCTTTTAAGAGTGCGGCTATACCCGAAGCATGCGGACAAGCCATAGATGTTCCAGAGAGCAGAGCAAAGTTACTGGATAAGAATATAGAATTCCCAATTATAGATGCAGCATTGTTTGGAGTATAAGCAGCCAAAACAACAGAACCGGGTGCCATTATATCTGGCTTTAAGATGCCAGGATAGCTTGGTGAAGGACCTCTTGAAGTGTAAGAGGCCACGGCTGGTGCAGGCTTTGTCCCTAAAATGGTCTGTTGAAACTTAATGCTAGCAGTAGCATTCTTACTACTTGTGGCATATTTGACAAGACCAGGTGCATCCTCTGGGCTAATCACAACACCAGGACAGGGCATACTGTATAATTCAGGTTCATCTGAAATAAATATTGCTCCTCGCACCCTTGACACAGTAATAAACCTTACTTGAGTAGAGAGAAAACCGGTATTGTCACATATGATGATCCCACCGGGGGCTTCAGATAACAATAGGCTTGAATTGCATGCTGATAAACTTTTATTGTAAATCAAGGCAAGGTCTTTAACTAAAGCACTAGCTGGAAACAAGGTCCATCCGATGATCGTTTTTCCATCTCCTAGAGACACAATTCCAGCAAAAGAACGGTCAATGGTGCCCGCTGCAACAGTCATGACCCATGGGATTCCATTGTGCAAGGTCCCTAAAGTTTCCCCTGCATTTCCTGCTGATGATGAGACTAGCACTCCTTTCTCCATAGCAGCAAATGAAGAAATTGCAATAGGATCCTCGTACAATGGCACTCCATCAAACCCCATGGATATTGATATCACATCGACACCATCATCAATTGCCCCGTCCAAACCAGCAAGTACGTCAGCTGAATAGCGCCCCTCATCCCATAGGACCTTGTACATGGCCACCATGGAGCGTGGGGCCAAACCTCTCGCCGTGCCTTTAGCATAACCGAAAAATGACACTCCGTCTTTGACATAGTTCCCACCTGCAGTGGAGGAAGTATGTGTTCCATGACCCATAGTGTCTCTAGCAGAATTCATGCTTATTTTGATTCCAGGATTGGCTGCAATCACACCCTTGTTGAAGTACCTAGCTCCAATTAACTTAGAGTTACACATGGTGGAGTTGAATTCCTGTCCTTCCTCGCATTTACCTTTCCACCTGGCTGGAACTGGAGTCATACCATCGTCTTTGTAACTGTCACTCTCTGGCCAAACACCAGTGTCGATAACACCAATGATGATACCGTCACCATAGTTTGAAGCAGGCCATAGCCCGGAGAAAGGGTTGAGGGACAGGAATTCAGGGGTATGGGTTGTGTCAGGAGTGACACTCCTGTCAGGATAGGCTGAGACAAATCCTGGAGACTTCTTTAGTGTTTCTAGTTCATCGGGAGATAGAACAGCGCTAAAACCATGAGCTCCACTATCATAGGAGTATACGAGAGATGGCGAGGACCGAGGGTTGTCTGATGAGGAAATATTTCTTGATTTCAGGGAATCAACTGTGGAGGAGTACCAGCTATGATGACTAGTAAAGATTTTGGGCATGAAGGACTTGTCCATATGGACGATATATGTATTTACAGACACTGAATGAACATGGAGAGTGAACAAAAGAGATGTGAGGAAGAGAGAATGCAGAAAATTAAGATAACAAAAACCCATTTTTTTCTTGGACAACCAAGATCAATGCTCTGCTTTATTTATGCATGGAAGTAAAAGTCTGAATGAGGTTGTGAATTAAAGCTACTGACTGTAAAAATTGTTGAAGAAAAAAGAACATTACTAAGCCGAATTAAGACGGATTCCATTTAATAATGTCGATTTTTTCTTTCTCTATATTAGGACTAAACGATACCCTAATGGCACTATCAATTAGATGTCGGCAAGAGAAATCAAGTCATATCATGGTAGATTAGGCTCAATTTTTGGACGTTGCTTGCTTCAAAAAATTTTATTTTTCTTCCTTCCAAGCCTGACTTTGTTTTTTCCTAGATTTTGATCCCTACCTGCGGATCACCATCCTCCAAAAAGAACCAACCAACCAAAGTTGTAAAGACCGCCCTATTCACTCCCCTTCAAACTAGTGCCATGGAATTTTTTTTCTATTATTTTTTTGCTGTGGTAAATAAATCAAGCTTAATATCCAAGTCTGTCACAGAAAAAACCCTAATCTTTACTCACTACATTTGAATGTTTCTTAATATGAGATTGGAATTCAATGTCATGAACTTGATCTATAATTTTCTTAATTCTAAGATGAACTCCCTCGACGTTGTAGGAATTGCCATATGTTCTCTTATCAATCAATTGCAGTACTTGAATAATTAAATTTCATTTGTTTAAAGAAAAGCAATCTACAAGCAGCACTGCTTGCTGCTATAGCCAGCAGGGAAAAAAAAAAAAAAAAGAATGGAAGGAGTTAGCTGTAAGCACCCAATTCTGACAGCGTTATTCCCCTCAACTTTGTAACATCTTTGATCAGGATAAATCCATAGACTTGGTCCTCAGCTGTTTACGTTTTGAACAGTGAGACTTCTTTATTTGTTCTGTTTTGGCTTAGTTTTTTGTTCCTCTATTTCAAGTTCCGTTCCAGATATGACATTTATAGCTTTATCCAAGCAATAGAAGCCAATGAATCCAAAATTCCATTCACCCAAAGCAACAGGTCAGAAAAGGGAGAATGTATGCAGTAAATCTGTTTTCTCCTGAGTTCTCTCAGAGTTACAACTAACAATTGCTACATAACACTTGACCAGAAAATCCACATTAAGTGTTGGGATAAGTATGTAAATGGCTTTTTATTTCTTATGAGACATATCTCACAATGCCATGTTAATTTCTCCTTCATTTTCTCGTTTCCAAGCAGTGAGTAATTCAGCACATGCAGCCACCATATTTAGCTGCCATCAGGTCTAGAGAAAACAAGAGGAAGTTTACATCTTGATTCCGCGCTTTGACTTTAAACAGTAGATTTGTTTTCTTGTGCTGCATCTAGATTGTGACATTTATTTGTTTAGTTCGACTATTTGTACGAGTATGGTTAGACTAAAGCTTATGTTTCAGTTTTAAATTGTCACAGAAAATCCCTGGAATGATAATATTATAATCAGCAGGCCTAGGAGTTAATTCCTTTAGCCGAATTGACTATCCAATCTTTGTTTTGCTGATCAAAGAAGACTTGGAAGAGTCAAATTCTTTCTAGAAAAGTTGAGGAAATGATGTCTGATTGCATTCTGATACGTTGCCCTTATGCTTATACGGTGTTGGATCCACTGGAGCATTGTTTTTGTACTTTACATGAAATTCTATGAATACATACAAGTAGAAGAAGAAGCCTAAATCCTGAAACAAACGCCTGTTCATTAATGCGGGCAAAAACGAGCTAGAAAACAAAATTGAGATGAAGACGTAATAAGAAAAACGAGTTGAAGTTAACGTTCATGAATCATGACAACCAAGAGGAGAAAGAGACGGATGGAAAAAACTCATGAGAAAGGAGACACAGGCCTAAAGTGGCAATACAGTGTCAGAACCTGGAGAATAAAAGACGCACATAATCCATATGGACCACTCTCAGAAATGTCTATCTTTATTAACCCATGATACTTCACCAATCACTTGGCAAAGTTGCATCAGTAAGTATTTCCCAACTTAACAATTTCAGATTGGGGTCAAACTGAGCTAGAACCACACGAATATTCAACGAGTTCCAAACAGATTATATTCAAATAGTAAAACTAAAAGCAAAAGAAAGAGAGGCATGAATTACGCTTACAGTGACTCAAAACGGGAGGAATCCTGACTGACTTATCTCCGAGGTTGCAGAGAAGAGCCCGGGATAATAAAAGAAAACTCGGTCACAGTTAATTCAAGCAGTTCAGACTGAAGAGGGCTTAGAGTTTGACAGATGCCATTATAAGAGTCCAGCTATACTCTTGATGTCGACCCCAACTTTCAGTTTAGGCCAACGGCAGCAAACCCATTTTTTTAAAACATATTATAAGTCATAGATAAGTATAAAAGCATTAAATTTTACAAAAAAGAAACTATAAAAAAATGAAAATGATCACATACAATAAACTTCACCAGTAAAGTTAAAAAGGATTCACGAGTGTCCTAACTCCTAATAGCATATAATAATCCATCCAAAATATTTTTAATGAAAAAAATCTCTCATTTGATGATTGCCTTTGACTTTTTTATTTTTATTATTTATTTATTTATTTAACTTTTTAGTATTGCATTGCTGTGTTAGGTAGAAATTCAATATGCGATTGAGCTTTAATGTTCTCAATGGGATTCTTGATAAGTAATTGACAAAGGCAAATCTCATAAAGTTTATGGGGCGGCAAACTAGTCAATTTTGAAGATTCAGTCAAAAAAGTTATCAGAAAAAATTAAGCTACCAAAACAGGAAATGGGGTGCCCAACATGTGTCTTATTTGTGGGGGAACCAAAAGGCCTAAACATGAAAGAAAGAAAACCCCTTCAAACTCCACAAAAGGAGAGTTCCAATTATTCCTAGCCCTCTTCTATACCTTTAGTGATCAAGGCAATCTCCTGTCACAAACAAAGCCCCCACTCCCCTTTAAAACCCGGAGGGCAATGAAATCGAGATGCATGTGAATTGTATGGCCCAAATGTTACTATTCATCACTCCCTAACTTAGTTCAAAAGAATATTTTGTCATATAATCATTTTTTATTGAGGGAATTTGTGTTCGGAGTAGAAGCATTTTGAAAACTCAAAATCTTTTTTTTTTTCTGGATTATGTTGCATTGTTAGTACTGAAATCTACCTGCTCCGTTATTACCAGCTGAAACCATGTAGGAAGAAACAGTATTACAGGCATCTATTAATTTGCCAATGGCATATACTGAGCTTGGCAAAAAAAAAGAAAAAAGCTATATAATCTACAAAAAGACAAATTGCATTTCAGGACGACATGAATTATGCACATACAGAGTTAGAAGTGTGTTTGCCTAAGCTGGCTCTCCATGAAAGTCATTAGTTAAACATCATGTGAATTCACCTTAACCTGAGTATGAAAGGCTATTTATTGCTCTTCAGGTTCTTGTTTTCTCCATAATGATCTATTGGTTTGGGCACCACTTTCATACCCGCTGCTATCACCTGATTCATTTACAGGTTTGTCTGTCAATCTATCCTTTACACCATCTTGTAGTGACCACATGTTCTCCCGTCTAGCTCTGTGTTCCTGAAATTCAAATGCAGAAAGAATAACCCAGATGAAACATAACAATCCCTAAAAAAAAGGTGGGTTTTGGCAGAATAACATCAACAAATTTAGGAATGATTTATATGTTCAAGAAATGTATATTGCAAAAGCATTTTCTTAACGCAGTTGGACCAAAATATCATCCAATAGATTCTAGAGGAACATGGGTAGTTTATTTCCTAGTAAATATTGTTTCATTACCCAATTAAACTCAAGCATAATCGAAAGTTGCTAATCTTGTCTTGATTTTCTCATCAATAATGAAATGATTAATGAGACAAAGTATATATGATAAATATGCATTTTCGCTAACCCAAGCAATTTTAAGATATGATTTGGTGCATTAAATTGACTAAAACACATAGCACAAGAAAAGAAACATCAAGGTAAACACATGGAAGCAAAAATTGTATGACAAAATCTACCATAAACTAGTTTGTCTAGGAAATGTTTGTGCTCCTCCATGAAGTTTTAACAACTAAAGGCATGGGGATATTAGATATCCATGGTTAAAACTCAGTACTAACAGTAAGAGATTAAAATAAGAATATTCATCTTGGAGATAATGATGTTACTATCATTAGGTATAAGCATTGATAACTATTTCAACTTACATCTCTAAACGGGAACTCATCAGCATCAAGCATATGAACCACATGCCCCATTTTTGGCCTTTTCTGAGCATTTGGGTCCACACAACGTAATGCGACTAAAAGGGCTCGCTTCAGCGCTCTGGAAGAGGGCTTTTCTGGTAACCTTGGATCCAAAACACCCTCTGCATTCCGGTTTGTAACCATTGTTTTAAGCCACTCGACCAGATTTACCTAAAAGTTGAAACAACTTACATACATTAAAAAGAAAAAAATGACCATGAAAAGCCATCTAGATTTGATCATAGGACTATTAGCAATTAACTTAGTTAAAGACTACAAACCTCCCCTTCAGGCCGGCTGTAATCCACTGGATTTCTTCCTGAAATTATTTCCATAACAAGAATGCCAAAGCTGTATACATCACTTCTCTCATTTAACATGCCAGTGCTAGCATATTCAGGAGCCACATATCTACAAAACCGAGGCAGTACTAAATGATCAGACACGATCATATGAAAATATTAGATAACCAAGAAGATTTCACAAAGAGAAGTTCAACTAACCCAAATGTTCCCATCACACGAGTTGTCACATAACTCCTCTCGGAGCCCAGGAGCTTTGCTAGGCCAAAGTCAGATACTTTCGGATTCCACTGCTTATCAAGCAAAATGTTGCTTGACTTGATATCACGATGAACAACTTTAGGCTCAAGTCCCTCGTGCAGATATGTCAACCTAAATCAATTTTCAGTTTTCGCAGACAACATTGTCAGCACACATAGGAAAGCCCAAGGACAATTCAAGCTCTGTTACCATTTTAGGTCAACCAAAAATTTACCCTTTTGCAGTTCCAAGCACTATATTCATACGGTTCTCCCATGTCAGAGGGCTGCAAGGCCCAACATCTCCATGAAGCCATTGTTCTAAATTCCCGTTGTCAACATACTCATACACAAGCATCCTATAACCACCAATTCAGTATGTTAGGAAATCCTTGAATGATGCTGAAATTTCAAAATGCCTAAAAGGTTGCAGGCATTAACATAAAGTCCAAACTTTCAATGCTGCAAATTAAGATCTAAATGCAACAAAAACAGATAGTATGTACCTATGAGGTCCTTCCGCACAATAACCAAGTAACCTCACCAAATTCTTATGCCGTACGCGCCCAATTGCTTCCACTTCAACCCTAAACTCCTTTTCAGCTTGACCCCTAAAGAAAAATACAAGAAAAACCCAAAACAAAAATTAATTTTCCCCAACAAAGACTCCATTCAACAAAGCCTCCTCTCGTTTCTGAAAAAGCTTACACTTATCCAACAAATGCATAAAAAAAACTACCAAAAAACTTCAAATTTGACCAAAAAAAAAGAAAGAAATAAAGAAAGAGATAGCATTTTTACCTATTATTTAACAGATTCTTGACAGCAACTTCAGTATTATCTTCCAAAACGCCACGATAAACAATTCCATAACCACCTTCACCAATCACATTCTCAGCCGCAAAATCATTAGTAGACTCCTCAAGCTCTCTCAAAGTATACCAATGTCCCCACCCCAAGTGGGAAACTTCCGGAACCGCCATAATCGCCATCCTTTGATCACCAGGCCGGGCCTCACCTGACCCGTGACCCGACCCGGATCCACGCTCTGGGTACGCAATCCTATGATCCTTTCCTATCTCAATGTGAATTCTGTTGCGCCCAGAGACAGGGCTGCTGTCTTCTTCTGAATGAAGAACCAATACAGGCTCGGATTCTGGATGTGGGTCCGGGTTTGAAGCTCGGTGAAGCTTAAGGTCCGGATTAGAATGACGAGATGGGTCGATCCGGATTTCCTGAATCTCCTTAGAAACTTTGGGAATAGTAGAGTTATGAGCGGGCCTAACGTTGTTGCTGCTGCTGCTTGTTGCTTTGTTTTGGCGTTTAGAAGTGAACCAAAGGGAGATAAGGAAAAGAACAATGACTATAACAGCTCCAACGCAGAGTCCAAGAACAACCCACAAACGCAAACCGAAAATTGAGGTGCGTTTCGAGAGCTGATCGTTTAAGAATGAATAACCAGACATTATCCCTGTTGTCCTTTCTTCTTCTTACAAGTTGGTTTTTGTTTCTTTTGTGCCTAAAAAAACAGTCAAATTCAAGTAATCCTTTTTGTCAAGAAACGAAGAAGAGGAAAGAGAGAACGTGATAAGGAGTGGAACTGTTGAAGGAATGATGATATTATATAAGGTCATCAAAAGAGAGAGAAAGAGTGTAGACACTGGGAGTAGAAGAGTGGGATTTTCGAAGTGAGTGAAAGAAAAAGAGGGCAGCAGCTGGCATGATGGGACCTCTAGAATTACAAGATGGAAAATTTGGGAAACCCCCTACTCAAGGCTTACTGAATGATCTGATCTTATTCTTGGCATAGCAGAAAATCTATTATAGTCAAGCATATACTCATTCATGTTATTATATTCTAATTATTATTGTGAGTGGGTCATGATATAGACATTTAATTGTTTATTAATAAAAATTTAAGTTAAAATAAATTTTCTTTTGAATTTTATTATTTTATATTTTTATTACACTTAAATAAATTATTAAATTTTAATTTTTATTCAAATAAAATTTTAATTTTAATTTAGATTTAAATAAAATTTTAATTTATTTATAAATAAACTTTTAATATAAATTAATTTTTTATTTGAAATAAAAATCTATTTGAATATAAATTAAAAATAAAAATTTATTTAAATATAATAAAAATATAAAAATTTATTTTAAAAATAAAATAATTCAAAGACTTTTTTAATATTTTAATCCATAACTTAGTAATGGTGTAGTACAATACAAGTATACAAGTATATTTTAGATTTCTATAAATATGATATATAATAAAAGAGAGATTTCCTTTTACACATAAGCAATCAAGATTTAAAAATTAAAAAAAAAATTACAAGTGTTAAGATTCAATTTATAATTTTATTAAAAATTAACTCTTAAAAAAATTGAATAAATCATTTAGACTAAACTCTTACATCATTTAAATTTAAATAAATTATTTTATATAATTATTTTTAAAAGATGCAATTCATCAAATTTAAATTTTAAATAATAATATATATAATTTTTTTATTTTTAAATTAAGATTTCTTTATAAAAAAAGTTTTGGAAAAGAAAAATTATTTAGTTTAATTTTAATATTTAAACTTTAAATAAATAATAATAATAATAATAATTTTGATTGTTTGTAAGAAGGAATGTGACTACTGACTAGGTTAGCGTCTTTGACTTTGGTATGTGGATCTTCCGATTCGCGTTCAAGTATGATTTTCGAACAAAGATTCTTTGATAGTTGTCTACTTGTCTTGAGGTCGAACTACATTTGATTGTAGTATTAAGCTCTCTCACTGGAATTATTCTCTTTTTTTTGTTTATTGCATTTTTTTTTAATTTTTATTATATTAGATGCATGCAAAAAAGTAAACAAGATTATCACAGTTTTCTTGATTTATGAAATAATTCAATAATTTTTATAATTTTATATTGATTCATTGTCAACGTATAAATATTATATTATACATTATTAATGAATCAAATAATGATATATCATAAAAATTAATTAAAAATTTTAAAAAATATATTTAGTTCTAAAATTATATTTTTTTTATTAAGATGCCATTATGTAGTCCATATATAAATAACATTATATAATGATAATCATCAAATATAAATCTAATTTTTATTTGTCTGATTTACCAATTGCATGCTTGGCATGATTTAAAATAGGGTAAAACATCAAGTTGGGCAAACTTTTGGATCCACGGCCAGAAATGGGTCGTTAATTTTTCACCAGGCACGTATTACTGTCTCATCTTACTAGAACGTTAAGACAAAAAATAAAACTACGTTGTACTTTTTCACCAGGCACATGCAAATGTTTTTCCAAGGATGAAGCTACTTGTCTCGTGTCTGCAATGTGCATGAATGTTTGCTTTCAATATTATGAACTAAAAAACTTAAGGCGATCCTGGGTTTTCCCTTTGAGATGTTGAATGTTCGATCGAATTGTCACATGGGAGAGAAGTCACAATTTCCTTGCTCATATCATATGCCTTTGATATGCAAAGCAACAAGGCCAATATAATTAAGGTGCAAGTGAAAGGCTGATCAAAGGGTCCGCCAGGTTGCCCACCTGACAGCGAAATTTCTCGGACGATGATCACATCAACTCCATAATGGTTAAAAATATGATTTTGGGGTCATCCTCAAATATCACTGATCACATTTGCCTCATCATTTCAATGCCTCGACTATTAGGTATGGCAGTCAATGCGAAGCAAAGCCAGAGTTTTGGGCTACTTTTGTGTTACTTTGTTCCTTTTATTTCTGAAAAGATTACAGATGTTTTCTTCGAACATACACAGAAACCACCGATGTAGATTTTTAGCCATTTTTGTCTATTTACAGTAGTTCATTTTGGGGATCACATTCCTCAACCCTGGAATTCAATTAGATTTCCATTTCAATGGAAACATTATTGGCAGGATTATTCCCAAATGTAATGCAGCCTAACAAATCGATCAGCAAAATAAAGGGGTAAAAGATAAGGCGATGAAACTGTATATATTGGTAAACTGAGCTCTACATACTCTTTTCGTCTTCTACATATTTGCATTATCAAAATTTCAGTTTGGACATTTAATTATTTCTTGAAAACGATTTGTTCCCCAATAACATTGGATTTGCCTCACATGCAGACAGAAACTTTCCTCAATTTCCTGTAGGGAAGGCTAACTAGGATTCAAGCCTGTGGGGTGTAAAGCATTGACCATACTTTGTGTTGATTTGCTAGTATATATTAACATGACATGAGCCATAAGTTCATCTCTCCTGCAGCCAGCTTGAATGTCTCCTCAACCGACAGTGCCTCCGGAAATTGGTGCGCGGCTCCGGGACCCGGGCATTCACCCTTCCGGCGTCCCGAATCAGCCTACCTGCCACGGTTCACACCCTTGTGAGGTATTGTCCGCTCTGGCCCCCCTGGCCTCACGGTTTTGTCCTACAAAAGGCGCCTCACAAGGCGGAGATGGTGTGAACCCTTTTATACCCCAGGGACCTTCCTATTATGTTCGATGTGGGATTCAGGACTCCCCCTTAGGTCCGTGACATTCTCCCGCACCCAACCTCGTGACGCCCTCGTCACGGAGGCTGACCACCCTGCCTGCCTCCCTTGAGGTGCTCGGCGTGGATCGAACGGTATAGGGCTGGCTCTGATACCACTTGTCACGGGTCGAGACTCAAGCTCCGAACCCGCGCGGCTCCGGGACCCGGGCATTCACCCTTCCGGCGTCCCGAATCAGCCTACCTGCCACGGTTCACACCCTTGTGAGGTATTGTCCGCTCTGGCCCCCTGGCCTCACGGTTTTGTCCTACAAAAGGCGCCTACGCTGCTCCAGCCTAATCCAGGAAAAAAAAAACCCCACATTGTCAGGGAAAGTAGTTTAATAAGGCGGACACGATTCTTATAAAGTATATAAATGCATCAGTTACATTTTTTTAAGAGCAGCTATTGAACATATACCATTGAATCTTGCACCGACTGTTTATTTAAGGCGTTTCGAATCTCAATGGTGAGCTGTCTTCTAAAATTTAAAGATACGAATAAAGAACCATTTTGGCTGACCTTTTCTGTATCTTTATTCATTGTTGCCATGGAGGCATGGACCATGGGTTTCTTTCTATTGTCCTCACTGTGCATCACATTCAATTAATTTTTACCTCTAGATTTTACCACCAATTAAAGCCTAATGAAAGAGCATGTAGGTTACTCATGATGGAAAATTTACAGGCATTATAATTAGAAGTTTTGGTTCCTTTCATGTATCCAAAAAAAAGAGCAATGTCAGCATGAATTAATCAATTATAGTAATTATCTGGTAAAATCTCCCATTAATTGGCAAAACTTTAAGTCATTCTAACAAAAAATTTCTCTTTCCGATCTAATTGAATTGAGAGAAAAAACGCCACATCTAGTTAGAATAAAAAATGAACAAAGCAAGGATATATTTCAGAAAGATTTAAGAGGCCATGTTTCTTAGGAGTATGCTTACATGGACATGGATCATGTACATGCAGCGATATTGATCCGAGGAAATGTGAGCAGACACCACCTCCAACTGATGCTTTTCTAGTATGTACAAGATGGTGGCTAATATCCCTGGCTTCCTCGGTGAACAGACACTGATTTGTGCATCATCCCCGCACATATTAATTACGACATTCGGAGAAAACCATGTTTGAAAGCAAGCTGGAGAAATTTGGGCTGCAAATGTTTGAGACACGTCTATGGTCATTGGATGGTTATTTGTAGGTCCCTGATCTGTCAAGAATGCTTCCCTTGATTCAGTAACTTGCACATGCGATGTGATTACGGATGATTGGTCATAGTCAACAATTGTTGGACTCCTTAGTCTCTCAAGCTTTTGTTTTTGAAGTGTTTGGAGAGTCTGTTGAAGGCTTTTGATGTATGTTACCGCTTCATCAACAATGGTAGACTTGTCTGCCTGTAAAAAGATTAAGGATTAAAGTATTAAACAGTTAAGTTTAATTTATGTTTGTCAACTTGTCTGCAACATGTTAGTGCCTTTTAAATATTAAAATGAAGAGATCAAGGCAAGCAGCTTCTTATGAGATACAGTAAGAATTTGCTCTTGGACTAGAATAGATTTCAATCAATTTTCTTTCAAATAAACAACTAAGATGTCTAAAATGGCGAAATTTAAACAGACACACGGAAGGAAACTAATGCAAATCCGAAAGAGATATCTTTATTCTGCCAAGCTTGCCTCCTTGCTCTTACACTACTTTCATATCAGAAATTTCTCTTTATATATCGACTTTGTCATCAACTACATTATTACAAAAACAATCCAAATGTTCTGAAATGTATGCTACTAATATTTAAGTTTATGTAAAATTGAAAAGAAATTTCATCAGAATTTCTTTTGAAAGAATCCCGTGTAATTAAAAGTTGAAACACAAACAATAACTTTCTGGAGGATCAGAAATCTGCATTAAAGGATTCCTATCAGAATTAATGATAAGACATGCAATTAATTTACTCTTTTTTTTCCTTGGAGTAAACGTTCATGCAAGTGATGAAACTTGGATATAGATATCATGGAAAGCAAATTCTTTTCTTTTCCATCTCCCTTAGGCCATAATTTTTTTTTTTCCATCTTACATATAACTATGTATTAATTACCTTAGCAGACAGTTGAGGAAGCAAAGCGTGAAGACTAGAGAACATGTTCCTCATCTTCTTCCTCCTTTCTCTTTCTGTCCATATATGCATCTCATGCTCCGATTGATCGCCAGCATCACCACAATCACCATTAACCTGTCCCTTTTTCAAGCTTCCTTTCCTACTTCTCTTCTGACCCACCTGTGCTATGGCTACTGTATCCATCTCAACCATGTTTCAATATTTGGGCTATTAGAGCTTGAATTATATGGTTTTATGACCAAACTTTTTCTTCAAGGCATCAACCACAATTCCCCGATCAATCAACCAGGAAGAGAATTGAAAAGAACCCAAAAAAAAAGGGTTTAATCATCAATTTATCATATAATATTTCCTTGAGGAGATATAGAGGTGTGATTTGTACATTTATAAAATGGAGAGAAAGTTAAACAAGGGAAGTTTTTTTATGAAGAGAAAAAGGTGGCAGAAGTGTACAGAAGTGGAGAAGATGATGAATGAGCTTGTAAGGAAAGGACCAAAATACAATCATGAGACAATGCCGTTATTTGGCTTCCAAACAAAACCGAAAGCTAAGCTCTTTGTTCAGAGTTTATTAAAAATATTTCTAAAGTGGGGCCCTGGGTATCATATTCTTCTAGCATGTCCACCCTCTTTATCCTTTTATTTACGACACTGACATTTTACAAAATTCCTTTTTTTTTTTCAGAAGAAATTTTATGTTTACCTATTTTAGAATAAATTGTCTATGATCCTGAAGGAAACAGGTAGGAAATTAATTTATGGAAATTTTAACTGATTTGAAATAGGGAAAGAACTAATTTTGTGTGATTTACAAGTTTTGCCACCACTAAAAAATGAAAATTAAATGCCAATGAGCAATGGCAGATGTGTAAATATGAGTGAAATTGAGGCTAAAAACTAACCTCTCAGCCAGCAAGATGCTTTAGGTACCCAGACGCGTCAAAACAACAAAACTAAACAAGCATGATTAAAAAGTTCCAATTCCTGCATTCCATCTGTATCCTTGGTTCAGCTGTTTAAGTTTTTCAAGCAAATGACGATATCAGTATCAGTTTAAAGTGCAGCAGATGAAATTGATAAAGCCCGGGCAATCTTTTTCTTTGTTGTATCTTTCTGTCAATCATATATAAAACGCAAAAGTTTCAGTTTCAGAAACTTTCTATTTATTTTTTATCGTTCAAAGATGATTGCCAGTCAAGTGTAACTTATCAATACTTTTTGAAGATTCCCTGAAGAGGAAGAATAATAAAGAAACAAAGTAAAGCTGAAAGTTTTGTTTTTTTATGAACGCCAATCGTCATTACGCGGCAAAACCAACTCCCTTTTGATATGAAGAATCTTTGTGTTATAATTCCTTTACGAAACACCTCCATCCTCTCCTTTTAGGACCTATTCCTGATTGTTTATTGAGATTAACAAATGAATACGAACGAATAAAAATTAAACATATTCACGAATTGTTATCTATTCACAAATTATTTGTAATCATCCCGTTCATTTACCCTAATTTCAAATGATAGAAGGCTTAACATATGTTCCACAACAATTAACATACGGTTCCTTGAGTTGATTCAGAGAGAATACGTTTCTACATTAAAATTAAGTCCTAATAAAATTTTAGATTTTCCTAACTATCTTCTTAAAAAAACCTAACATATGGTTGAACAAATTGTTACTTGTTAGCCATTCAAGGTCTCATCATTGAAATGAAATGAGGCTCATTTCTACATTTTTGATAGAATGGGGAGCGTTTTACTTGAGAAGAAGATACTGAAAAAAAAAAAAAAAACAATTTTTAACTCCATAGAACTGGAAAAAGAAAGAACATGTATTTATAAATGATAGTAATTATCACTTTATGCAGAGGAAGGACGATATGAAAGGGATGCCAGTAGCATCTATCCCATAGTGTCGACCTGTTACAATTTATAACATAAATAACTGGAACAAGTATAAAGGTCACCAGTTTCAATGTCATTTGCAGCTTCTATGGTTTTTGAACCAGAGGAAGATTTAGACATGGTGATGGTGGTCTCAGGTTTTTACATTCAGTTTCTCGACAATTTCTGCTTGGCTAAGACACACCTGATGAAGAGTTATTCCCAGCACGATTCATCTCTAATTGAAGTTGTGACCTGCCTTCATTACAGATTTCCTTCACATTACAAAAAAAAAAATGCTTACGTTAATCCCAGAAATTTTCTGACAGATTCATTACATGTTCATGCTAAATTTACCTTAGAAGATGTGGAGTGGCTGAAGGGTCCATACTGTGGCTCAGCAGATGGTTCAAAACCAAATGAAGCTTTGAAATTAGATACATTAGCAGCCGAAGGTGCAATAATTGGCTGATTTGAGATGGGGCATGGGTTGGAAAGATTAAAGGTAGTGTTCGAGCTTTCTTCATTTGAAGAAAATGTGCCTGCTCCTGCGTTGGGACTGAAGAATCCATTTCCCTCCTCATAATCCATGCCTGTGGGAGGCATTTGCGTTGGCTGTAGTACTCCAGGTAAGTACATTGGGTACAAACTCAATCCATTTCTCATTGATAACATCTGCTAAAGAAATGACGACAAATCAAACTGACTTTTCATGATTCTAGCTCAGTTTGTATTGCACCATACCATCACACATATCAAACTAACGATTTTAAAATAAATCCAGTTTTTACCATTTCATCTTCACTCAGTGTTTATTGACTTCCATACCATCATGTGCAACAGCCGATATTATCATCATCACACAAAATATAAATGTATAAAAATGAAACAAATCCCTTTCTCTTCTAATCACGTCCATGACCATCATCAAAAACAAAGTGATCTAAGTATGAATAGAGTTAAAAGCATCACATCATTGCCTAACCTCTCCTTTCCTCCCACTCCTAGTCTTGATACCATAAACACTTAAAAGTTTCTCCATTGCAAGTGCAAAATCATAAGAAAATGTAGACTGATTAGTGGCACATGACTGCAGAAACTGCTTTGTCATAGAGACATTCAACAGAGAACTATGCCAAATCCTCTCTGTGAACTCTGGTAATACACATTATCAAACTTAGATGGTGCATGAGGTCATTAAATGCCAACATTGTGAGATGTTAGTATAATTCACATAAATTTTCTTCAGTGCTTCAGCAAACTAGAGAGTTACATGTGGGACCAGTTGGTGTGCTACTGCTATAGCTGCAAAGCCTATAAGCAACCTCTTTGCGACGTGAGAATCCAAAAGTGTGGACACCAATAAGTACAACAATCTCTTAAATAGTGAATTTTCTGGATGCAAAAATCCTGATGCCATGTCATGGGTAACTCTAGAGATGTCTTTCAACCCTAGTTAGACGTGGGATAGAAGGCAAATGTTACAGTCAAGCCAAACTGTATAGAAAGGCCCACCGACCCTGTTGATGAGGTTACAGGTGGCAAGGGCAAGCATTATAGAACAGTAGACAATGCCTGTGCAGAAGAGCCCAAGAGCAGTCTTAGCACACAACGAATGAAAAACATCTTCAGGAAGGGAAAGATTGTTGTTGGCATCACACTCAGTCTTGTTGACGATATTGTAAGAGATTATGGCAGAGGCATCGCAACCATCCACCATTTAGCCATGAAGGAAGAGGCCGGGGGTGGCAGCTGCAGTGCTGGGGTGGCTCTGTATTCTCAGGAGGAAGAAAGGACTTGCATATGAAGGAGAAGACAGGATGAGTATGCAAATATAATGGGATAGAGCAAAACGGAAGGAAAAAATGTAGGAAGCTTCATGGATAGAAGTGATTTTAGGAAGGTTCCTTATTTCGTTAGAAATGAGGAAGAGTATGTTTCTTTTTTTGTTTTTCCATGTATTTGCATAGATTTCTTAAACAGATAATAGAAATTAAGAAGAATCAATGAAGTAGTAACATAAATAACCCCAAGCATTTCTTAAATCCGGGCAGGCACAATTATAAAACGACAACGTAATACACCAAAATAAGTAACAGAAAAGAACACTTACCTGTACTTGAAGCTGAAGCTGCTTCAAGTACTCGATCGCCTCGTCAAGCATCGAAGCCTTATCCGTCTATCTCTCCAAAGAAGATAAAACTCATTTATTACAAAAAAAAAAAAAAAAAAAGAGAGAGAAGGCTATGTTTGGTTGTGGCAGTTTTTAAGTACCTTATTGGAGTTTGGGATTAGATCCTGTAACGCTTTCATTTTCTCATTTATCCTACTTCTCCTCCTCTGCCAAACAAACAAAAACAAAAATTAATCAAATTCGTTTTGAGAAACTGGAACTGTTAAAAAATTCAAACCTTTTCCGACAAGTTATGGACTTCGGCTGCTCTGCTTCGCTTCAATGAACTCCTTGGCCGCTCCTGAATTGATGGCACCTTCGATGCTTCCGGAACCTTCTAGATTCGCAAACGTAATCTTAATCAAAGCTTTCGCTATTGGTGAAAAAGAAAATTCTAAGCTTTCATTTTTTTAAAAAAAAATTTAAGGATTGAAAATTAAAGAAAATCATTTAAATTATTTTACCTCGCTGTCATAACTGAAATCACCAGCAGAAGACAACGCATTGTCGGCGCTATCTTTAACATTGGCTCCAAAATAAGTTTCAGGATCGGAGAAATTGGCTCGAGGCACTGACTCGGCTCGAACAGCCGATCCGTTGAGCCGGTTCCGATCCTCAACCGATACTGCCATCCCGGCGCCAGAATTACCCACCAACGTCGGCAATTCCGGCACTTGAGACGGGAAAGAGTGAACACACTTGGCCTTGAATTGCATGCACGAAGAAGAGGAATTGTGAATGAGTTGGTTAAGGAACATGGAGATTTCTTCGGGTTCAGGGTTTGTAGATGGAGCTGCTCCGTACAGATGCGCCATTAAAATAAGTCAAGCAGGCATAAAAGCAGAAACGTTTCTGATTGAGTTGTTTTTGCTCCTTTTCTTCCTTTTCTGTGCTGATTTTGTTCTCTTTTTTGGATTATTTAAAAAGAGGTTAAAATAACAAATTAATGTGAAATTTGATTACTGTAATAAACAGATATGAAGCTCTTTTTCCTAAAGTTTGCATAATCAAACTTTAATTAATCTCCCGCCCCAAGTAAACAGACGGTCCAAAATTTTTATTATTGTCATCTAGGCCCCCCTTTTTTTTATTTTGAATTTACCACCAAATTTTGCTTAATTTGAAAAACGGAATCGAATTTTTTTCAGCTTTTTATTGAATTAAAAATATAATTTGATGACATCCGGTGTACAAATTTTAACATTATTATTTTTTATAAAAAATTAAAAATATTAAATTAAATCTTAAAAGGTGATAGTGATTTTCTTTTTGACATTTTGAACTGTCAACCTTTAAACTTTAAATTTTTATTATTAAATTTAAAATTTTACTTCAAATATCGTTTTTGAAGTTCAATAAGATAAGGGATGGAAATGAAATTATGGAGCATTCAAGGGAAGTCGGTGTTGGATTAAAAGAAGGAAAAAAAAAAGTCAAAGAGACAAGTTTGAGCCTTGACTGTCTTATCCAACCAAACGTCAGCTGCAATACCCGAGGCCACTTTGTTAGTGTGGCGTGTTAGCAACAAGCTCTGCTCCAAATCAACCATGGGATTTTTAGGATTACAGATTGGATTACTCCTCTCAAAACTCAAAGCTAACAATGTAGAATTTGCTGACTGCTGTTCCTGCTGCTGCATTTAACAATGTAGATGATGGCTCAGGCTTGTTATGTTTTAGTTTTTGTTGTCAGATAAATGAGGGAAGATGAAGATATGGAAATTGTAGATTTGACCAAATGATGGTTACGGATACGTTACCCTCAACAAAAGTATGGGTTACACTAGTTTGCTAGCTCATGTTAATTATGGAGGTTGCTTTCAAGCCTTCAATGTCACAGCATTACTTTGTCTAGTTCAAGGTTGCTTTCAAACTATCATCTCTCTGATCACTTCCCTTATCTCAACTTGTGCAAGAAAATATTGAACTAGGCAGTACAGACGACAAAGAAATTAATGATTTTAGACATTTCAAAACTCCATAATTAAAAGTTTCTTTTAAAATTTTAGATCTTCAAAGAATCCATTAAGCACTCATTTGAAGTACGAGCAGCTGTAACAAACAAGAACGAGCAAAAAGATAAGTAACAAAAAAGAGACGAACATCAAAATGTAAAGAGAGATTCTCTATATATGTCGCCAACGGGCTGAAGATTCATACATAAAATAGTGCAATGGTTAAAACGAAAAATGTAGAAACTAGTTTTCTGATCCCAGCGCTTCAGACATCTGTGTCATCCACCCAGAAATTGCTTTGTTTGACAGAATTGGAATTAAAAATGCCTCTGGCTTTTGAATTAGAAATGCCATGAACCATACCGGAATGAAAACTGTGAAGGCCACATAAGGCACACTTGAGGGCATCAGGTCCAATGAATCAATGCCGGTCCTTTCTCTGACCAGGAGGAACTGATTGCCCAAAAACGAATGGTTTGTCTTATTTACTCATAGCCGTTGTTTTACAAATGGGGCACAAGTTTTTGTGCATCAACCATTGTTTAATGCAATCAGCATGGAAGTTGTGGCCACATTCCAGTGTTCCAAGATCTTCTCCATCATTATATTCTTCCTGCATGTTTTTAAACAATTATTCAAGAGGTTCACTGAATCAATAAAGAAACCACAGGCGAGAAAAATCTTTACCTGACAAACACAACATGGTTCTGCCTCTAACTGAGCTCCTGGTGCACTAGAGTACTTTTGTCGTTTCAGATGGTTTAATATAGTTTCTTCACTCAACCCTGTGTTTACGTTACCAATGCGCTCTTCCAGAGCCAACAACTCCTATTACCCACAAAGGAATTCTACTGTGAGAACAAATTTCAAACTCAGAAAGGATAGTAGATGCCAAGAATATAGATACTACCTCATATGACATGTTATCAACATCAAGCCGCATGTCCCTATGCCGATCATGAATATCAGCTACCCCAAAAAATACCGATTGATCAAGGATCATAACATCCTGCCATACAAGCAGAATTAGAAAGAAAAAATGTCACTAGTTTGGTCAGAAGTTCTTATCCACACCCTTTGCCCATTGTAGCTTAAATTTGAAGAATGGCTATCTATACGAACATAGCAACAAATGAATAATAATAGAAAAAACAATTTTTTCATGCTTCCATGTTTCAATTGATTATGATAGAACTGCATCAAATTACACCATAAATATAAAAAACCTTACCTCAAAAGGCAAGTTCTCACCCCTACGCATGAGATCCAAGACATTGCGAATCTGCCCCATAAACACACTGTCAGATCCAGTTGACTAGTTCTTAGCTAAGACCATTTAATGTTGCAAAATACATTGGATGCAGGTAAAAACAAGAATTGACTAGATAAATGTCATTTACTTTAGTGTGATCAACATAACGACTAAAGTGCAACACATGAATGATTCATTCATAGACTAGTGCAAGCATTTTGGATAAGAATTCCCAATGGCATGTCTTTCAGACAAAAGCTACTAAGAAAAAAACAGACACATGTTATTCTCCACAATTAGCATTGCACTATCATACAACAAAAAGAAGTTTCTCCTATATCTATACCAGATATGCAATAAACAGTAACAACTAGATAGGCAGCAAATCAAGTAGTAATGATGTTAAGAGAATCACAATTATTTCTTCTTATGTTTGAATTTAAAGGGAAAGGTTAAAGCTATCACAATCAGAAAAGATGCAGTTCTATGGCGAACCTCAGACACAACAAGCCTGCTTCTTCCTTCAGTAGCAGCAGCTAAAGTCCGCAATGAATGGGGCATTCCAACCAAACCAGCATCTTGTCTCTCCAACCATGAAACTGACCGAGGGTATGGTCGATGGTGTCCCTGATTAGCTATTCCAGAGGAAAGCAGCATCTCTTCGGGAGAAGTAGGAGGTCCTGAAGAAAGTGACGAATGACTGCCCTGACCTCCGGACTCAGTACCAAGGGAAGACATCAATGATCGACGAACAAGTTCTGAGAATCTCCGTGGGTATCGTGAAGAGGGGTTGGGACGAGGAACCCATGGCGAGGCAGATGATGCATTGGCACCAGAACTTGAGCCAGCACGAGATGTGGAAGAAACATTTCCAGGAGCACTTGTATTTCCACTGCTTAAACCTCGATTTGTGGGATTTCTAACTGAAGTTCTCAAATCAGGTGCAGGAACAAACATAGGATGATCTACCGGGTTCCTAGTGATGCTTCTTAACTGATTTCCCTCGCGTGGTACAGCATTTCTATCCCCAGATGCATTAGAACTTGATAAATTGCCAGTTCTTGAGCCAGAACCTCCATTCCACCTAAATGACTGCACATTTCGAGGCACATTTGGAACATGAATTACAACATTTGGGTTTTGTGGACTTGCATTATCTACCACTGGTGCTGACCTTAAGCCCAGAGAATGATCAGTTGGAAGAAGACTTGATGACTGCTGTGAAGACGAAACAACAGATTGCATGGCTGTATCAACTGTAGGAAACATTGGAGGCACGATAGGTTCTTGTATACTTGATGGATTTATTCTTATCCGGAAATTCCGGTGTGTGCTCTCTGAAATTGGCAAAACAATTGGTTCAGGAACACTGTCAGAAGCTGATCCTCTTACATCTAAACCAAGTATAGGGTGTGCCAGTCCTGAGGGGGCAGATATATTCACGCTGCTTCCTGCACTATGGCTAGCAGAAACTCCATGCCATGCACTACTTTCTGCTTGATGGAAGTAGCTAGAACCTCCACTCAAAGAAGACTGCCCAACATTTCCTTCAAGAGCCTTTCTTTTGCACGATGATCGGCGACCCTCATATGAGCAACCAGGTCTGGCTTCATCATCATCCACAACATACCCACCACTTCCAGAAGAGAGTAGAAATGCTTCAGGACCAGCACCAGATGAAATCCGTTCATTTTCAGATCCACGGGGCTTATATGGATTAGACCGTTCTGTAACTTGAAAGTTATTAACACCATGACCAACCAAGCCTGCATTTAAGTTGAGATTCTGGGTAACTGTATCAGAATTAGAACTTTGAACAAATAGAGAGTTCTGTTCATACTGCTGCTCTTCTAAGCTGGGACCAGCATTTGCAGAAGCACTCATGGAAGATGACCATCCGTGGTCTGTTTTCAGCTCATTATGGCTAACCTCAATCTGTGTGCCACTAGAACTAGGCTCTCCCAGGTTCCATCTGCCCAGCTCCTGCTCCTCTCGACCAATAGAGTTCACATATCCAATGCTCATGTCATTAGGTGACAGCAAACAATCAGGCAGTCTGTTTTCTATAGGATTTCGAATATTATTCCAGCACACCTGCTGGTCTATAGCAGCATTAGTTGACGTAGAGCCATGGTCAAAGAAGGTTTCAGGCAAGGAACCAATAGTACCCCTTTGCCCCTGCATTAGGGCTTGTATGAACTTCAGCACAAATTATTGTGAAGTCCTGAAGAATATTCCAATACAAATTGTAAGTCCTCAATCAGCACAACAAAGTGAAAGAGAAGCAGTGGCATTACAAATGATTCTAGACAAAGTACTGGTCTATAAAAATACAAAACAAACCATTATAAATATGTTTCAATCAATTGTCGGATTTCTAATAGTAAGAGAATAGTTCAAGTAGGATCAATGTTGCCTTATAGTGACCATTTTGCGCCTCTCATACATCAAGAAACCAATTGTTGCAAACAACTTTTCACCAGGGTGAGCAACGCCATGCAAATGTTACTTGGAATTTTCAATAATGCTTGATAACATGCATGCTCTCCAACAACACAGAAGAAACAAACAACATAAACAGAGAACATCGAAGGAATAGCAACTGCATCTAAAATCTAATATCTAATAGTAATAACAGGATAACGAGGCTGCAGATATAAGACAGCGACCAGAAATTATACACAAATGCAGTAATTAGTCTGCAATGGGCAGCAAATAATTAAGCCAAGTGATCTCACTGCAACCAGTAACATAGAGTTTAGACAATGTAACTAATCAACAAAGACACTGTTTTGTCCGGTACAGCATAGCATCAACAAAAAACCACCAAATGTGCAGCTAGCAGCAAGGTCAAGTAACCCATCCTAATGTGAAGTATTCCCAAATTTAATCCACATAGGATATTCAGACATATTTATACGTCACAAAAGCTTGAAACCACTATCCTAAACTCCAGAAAAGGGCATGGAGCAACTAAATCTGGAAATTTTAAAACCTTTAAGGGGAACCAAAATCAAACGACAATGAGCATCGAGTAGCAGCAGATATCCGACTCTTCATCTATAGAACAAAAGGCAAAAATATACAAAGAAAAATACACTGAACGAATAAACAGGAGAAAAGCATTCCAGCTGTAGTTATTTCTTTTCTATATCTTCCCTCAGCACATCCCACTCCACCCTAACCCCAAAGCCACCATATAAAAGAAAAGAGGAAAGATAGAAGACAACTAAATAAAAAACAAACGTAAAATGCAATAGAGGATCTAAGGTCAAACAAGGCAACTATGAGCACCATCTCTCTAAAAATCAGCTATTACAAGAGACAGCTTCAATAATCAAACATCTAGTGAAAACACAGCAAAAAATAACAGAATTTAAACGCAAACAGGAAAAACCTCAAAATAATATGCATATTTTGAAATCCAAAATACATAAAAATCAAAACTTTGAAAAAAAAAAAGGTACCCTTTGAAAACCAAACAACCCCAAATCAAGGAAAAACCAGAGAATATCCTTCATATCCCATCTGACCATCAACCGATCAAGAAAAAAAGGCATGAAAACACACTCAAAGAACTCACCTAAAGAGCGGAAATGAAGGAACTTGATCGATCTAAGAGAATCTTAAGAAGAAAACAAAGGATTAAACCACAAAAACAGGATAAAAAAGCCGTCTTGAAGCTATTCTCCTCCCCTTTTTCACGAAAAATGGAAGGGAAAGAAGAAAACAAGATAAAAAAAAACCCACTTCAGCAATGGGAGGATGAGAGAGGCCTTGAAAGATAAAATAAATTGAGAAATGAAAATACCATACAAGAAATAAAGAGAGAGATTAAAAGAGGACAGTAGCCTTCAATTTACCAAAAAACCCTGCTGAAAGAGAAAGCGAGATAAAAAAGAACAGAAAGAAAGATAGTAATGGTCATAAACAGCAGTTTCCTACCAAAGAATCGATCATTTGAAAAACAAAAACAATAAAAACAAATACTTCAACAAACAACAACTAGGCAAAGGTGTCCTGTTTGGCCGCTTACCAAATGGCTTTCAGGTCTCCATCTTTCTTTTCCTTGTCAAGATGTTTACCCATCTTTCCCATTCTCTCTATATGCAAAAATGATTTTAAAGAAAAAAAAAACAACCCTTTTACCTTCACTGTCCCTCTCTATATAAGTGAAATTATATTAATATAATTAAGACCCGTCTCCCAATGCGGTTCGTAGGCAAAGCCCCACAAAACACTAGACCCCCTCTGTTTCCATCTCGTTCACGCCAAGCACTGGCCCTTCCCCGCGCCCTCCCCTTAGGCCTTTTACCCGTCCACATGCCAGCTCTTTCTCGCCCTTTCCTTACCCCTCTCATTGTATGAGTAGCCAGCCACCTTTTCTTCTTACCAAAAAACCCAAGAAATTTTAGGTTTAATATTTAAATAAATTTTCAAACTTTACTTTACAATGTAAATAAATTTTCAATCTTTTATTACATAAAATTTTGTAATATAAAATATTTAATTTTTTATTTTTATATTAGATAATTTAATTTATAAAAAATACTTATTCTATTAAGTAGACTATATTAATTCAATTTTAAGATTTGGTAAATATAATTACAATGAAATAAAAATTCATAATTTTAATTTTATGTAATGAAAGATCAAGAATTTATTTACATTTTAAAGTAAATTTTGAAGATTTATTAATCAATTTTCCAAAATACACTTAAAAATGTTAAAATACGAACGTGGCTTTGGTGTAGTTTTATAAGGATCTCAGTTGATTGACATCAAATTTTGTTCCTTTTTTTTCGCAAACATCTAAAAAATCTATTTGCTTTGTGAATTGTGAGCATATAAATGTTGACTATCACTCCTCAGATTTGGAATTTGCTTCATTCTTTTCTCCATCACATATTCTCAAAGGAAAAAAAAAAAACAAATCATGTAGGGAGCGATTTGGCAAGTGACAGCCACCCCTTACAGAAAAAAAAAATACCAACAAGAGATGGGACAATAACTTGAATTCTCTGTCGGTATAATTTTTGGTGGAAAATGTCAAACGGAGAGATGCATCGGTGGACGAATAGAAATGTCGTTGCTTTGCTTAAAGGAGGTGTGAATGCAACGACCCAAATGAGCAAAACTTTGCAGGTCGTTGCCCCCAAACTTTCGTTTAATATTTCGACTCTTGCCGTTCATATCTCAATCCTGAGGGCCTCTGTCCCCTTTGTCTTGTACTGTTTTTCTAACCCTTATTTTATTGATTTTTTTCTTCCCACAAAACCATTCAAAGGTGGCTGCTTTGCTTCACTTTTTTATCATACCATTGTGTCCATCTGCTTATACAACCACGTTGTTTAATATCTTTCATTGGGAATTGATTAATAAGATAAGCATGATGGTGATTCCCCATCTTCCTAAGCGACTATAGAAACTTGGCCTTCCTGTAAAAAAACAAAACTAAAACAAAAAAAATCTTTAAAATTTACCATTTTTAAGACAAATATTTAGTTTTTAATTCACATTTAAATAAAATTTTAATTTATATTTAATTAAATTCTTAATTTTCAATTTATATTTAAATAAATTTTTAATTTGAATTAATCTTTTGTTTAAAATAAAATTTTATTTAAATACAATAAAAATTCAAAAATTCAAAAAAATTTTAATATTAAAAAACTGTGCCACCTACATATGATCCAATGCACTTCGTATAGCTTGAATTAAAATGTAATAAAAGTTCGGACATTGACACTAATTCCAAAAAGGAAACATAGAATTAAAGAGAGAGAGAGAGAGAGAGAGAGAGAGGAGAAAATCAAATGAGGAAGGTGATTTGACTTTTATTAAAAGAGTACATGCTTGCAAGGTAGAATGATGGGCTGGGCTGGTTATAAAATTTTAAGGGAAAGGTGAGTAAATTAAGGGCAGGGGTGTCGTTGCTAGCAATTATGTCATTTAATTTAACCCCAGATACAATCTCCCTCTTTAAAAAGCCTGTTTCTGAATGGTTGGTTGTGGGAGTGATTGAATCAATTTTAATTGGGTGGAAGCAATCAAAGATTATGAATTACAACCCCTACCAGTACCTTTTAGCCTGAGAGAGGGGGTGATTATGCTCATAGCATTACCATTGCAATTTAAATCCAAATGGAGCTATATAATGGCTGTGATTACCACATAATGGATTGTGGGAACCGGAAGAGGAGCAGCTTCCTGTTTTCTATTGGTTTTGAGGACCATAAAAAAGGGGAAGACACTTGTGGGCAAGATAATGAAGGTACAACAGGAGTGCCGTCTGAAAAATATAAAGGAACTTGCCTAAGAAACAGCAGAGAGTCATAGTTGAAGAAATTTTGGTTCCTTGTGGTACTAGTTCTACATTGTGCAATGAACACGTGTCTTGATTCCAAAGCATAAAAATATAGGGAAAAGGTGAGGCCTAACGCTTGGGGGTTATTGCCCGACAGCCAGAAGAAGTTGGGTCCAGAGCATAATTTTGATGGATGAAATAATCAGCCTTACATGAAAATGCCCAAAGTTTATCCAAATTCTGTTCAACAAGGGAAGAAAAGTTATAACAAAAAAAAACAACGTAAGAAACCACTCACATTCTTTATTAATTAATTACATTCGTCTCATCCAGATTATTAGAAAAAGGAAGGGGAGAGCACTGAGTTGGGGCAACAATGCCCAATTCTTCCACTTTAAGAATCAAAGTATTATTTCGTGTTATCAAAATATGGAATCACAAATTTAAATGGTTGTGGTTAAATACATTGATGATAACATAATAAAAACAGCTGCAAGTTTTCCCTACCAACTGTCAATGCCAGTAAGGAAAGAACAGTAAACATACAATTCAAAACAGTTTCAACCTAATTAATTTAGGTCCAACAGTCTAGTTAATTTATCTACCACAGCAGTGAGTTCAAAGTATATTACAAACACGATAAAGAAAGAAAGGCTTTCCGAAGGGGAGGCCAAAAAGATTTGAAAGGGAATCTGCATTCTTTATACAGGTTTGTGCACCTCTGCAATGAGAAAGTTCAGAAACACGCTATAGAACAGCCTAGGGGAAGAAAAACGTCGCCAAGTGAACACATTTGAGAAGTGAGTGGAAAAAAATTCTCAACCCATCATCATCATCATCATCAGAGAAACCAGAGAACTTGGTAGCCAGGTGAAGCACCTGATGTTGAAATTTATCTGATCGTCCAATGTACCACATACTTTCTGAAAGAAATGTGCCAGATTCTTCACCATTCTGAAGGTAAAATTCCTGATAATTTGATTCTTCTGATGCATAGCATCTTCATAGCTTAAATTATTCTCAAGCAAAACTCCTGACATTAGGCACATAAATGCAGCCTGCATGGCGAACCAAAAGCTAAATTTACTAAATCTTTCATGAATATTTTAGGTCGGAAGACTTACCACCAAAACAGGAACAAGAAATGACCTTATGAAGGTGTGTGAGCCTGCCATTACGTTTCTCTCAATTCATATTTGAAAATTTCTTCTTTCCTATTAGGTTCTTGAATATATAAATCTTATGCTATTTCTGAGCACTTAAACCTCTGACAAGGTAACTGCTCCTATTTGATTTATGGTGTGTCATGGACACTGCTCCTATTTGATTTATGGTGTATCATGGACAATCATTGCTCGAGATCTTCCAACTCTATGAAATCTTCTTCTACAATTGACAGTAATTCAATGGTAGTTTGCCAAGAACCCACCTGCATAACAGCCATGGCACAGAAAAACTTGTTCAATTAGAGGAAAGAACACATCTAATAAAAGTTTTGACATAAAACTTAAGGAATTCAGACTTCAGATAGTGAAAGTGTCACTAGAGATGTACAACAAGCAAATATGGGCAAAACAGGGGTTATCTGGCTTAAATTTGAGAAACAGAAAAGATTGGAGTAACATCCTTCTTGTTAATTCTCAACCATGGCAAAAAAAAAAAAAAAAGGGTAACAAGCGTGTTGGCAAGAACAATTACTTCATAATACTGAATACCTATTACAGTCAGCAAGACAGCTTGAAAATGCTGACAGCATATATACGTTTTGCAATTTTTTCATAATAAAAGGAACTGAGGACTTATCTGTACATGCATGACAAAAGATTGAAGCTAAAGAATATACAATTGAGATTTGAAATACATGAATGCTTTGTTAGAAATGGAAAAAGTATTTGCAAAAGCCATGTTTGGTAGCACAAATAAAAGGACTTACAAAATGAAAAAGAAAAGGGCAGTAATATAAACTTCCAAGGCAATAAAATATAATCAAACTATGTTACCAGATCAATGGGCAGGTCTCTTGGGATGGCTGAAGGAAACTCAAAACTGGCAACAGAAATAGGTCTAGTCACTATTGGATCGTCTAGCTCTTTAGTGAAGTCATCACAATTGATTTTAGTTTCAACAGTTTCAGTTGTAAGAAATCCCTCGTGCTGAATACCAATGCGACCCACAGCTGAAACACTTTCTTCTGCACAAGAACTTAAAACATTCTCCGATACACTATTTCCAGCACGAGATTTGACAACTACTCGGCATAGGACAAAAGAAGCCTGCAGATGGTGGAAACATAAATTTCATGGAAGTAACAGTCCCATAGACCCTCCCTACCCTTGAAACCAATCTAAACATAAGTTCACATGTTTGCCATAGTATAAGTCACAAACAAGCATTACTAAATACAACAAAATTCATATTTTTGAAAGAGTAGGTACATACTGCGTAAAAGTTTGAACTTACTAAGATTTAATACAATATTTGGCCAGAAATTTTCTTTATTGAGGACTCAGAATACTTCAATCTACACGGGTAAAACTTTCTCAAATTGATAAAGTAAAAACAACAATTAAATAATTTTCATGTGGCATTCAGAAAAACAAATCATTTTGCATCTATGTACCCCAGCGACTGAACACAAAACCAGGATTATATTAATTATAATGATGAATCATCTAAATCATTTTAGTGTAATAACAATACATCGTTCAGAAAGCAAAGCAGAACCACGTACAAACAAGTGGGGGCACAATTAACCCACTGAAATTTTGGAAAACTTCATGTTAGCTTCGAAAATCCTCTCGGCCCTCAGTAAATATCTAGTGAAAAGAGTCATGTTCAATTTATCAGCATCAAAGAAGGGTAAGGGGTTTTAGAACATTAAAGAGAGAAGCATTGAAAATAAACTAAAAAAGACGGTTTTGTTGGAGACTGGAGAGGACACAATTAAATCTGCAATAGATACGAAATTTGTGAGTTCCAATTTATCACTACCTACCAAACAGCAATAACAAGAAGTAATTTCCTCAACATATTACCCCATAAAAACCTTTCTAAAAAAGGGGAATTAAAACTTCTTTTTTTACCTCGGGATGGTGAAGGAGGGCATATTCGTACATGATCCAAGGAGTCCTAACTGCTGCCTTAACTGAATTAACCTCATAAAATACAAATTTAGTTCTAGTGCCCAACACTGCATTCCCTCCATCAAACACATCCCTGACTTTTCCCATCCTCCTCCAAAACCCTCCCTTTGCCCTCCTCTTCCTCCTCCCTCCTTTGCTCTCCGTGTAGCAAAACCAGTGCCTTTTCCTCCCTCGATATCCGTGCATAAAGCACACGGCCTCCGGCAAGTCTGACGGGTCGTAATCGTACAAATTGAGCTCCCTGATTAAATCGTAGCTGTACACATCAGCGCGATCGGCGGCAACGGACCCGTTTTTCCCGGTGAGATAGTGGTTAAAAAGCTCCTCCTCGGAAGGGTAAAATCGACAACCTGGTGGAAGATGATATAACGACCTCTTCTTGGATGAATCTCCTCGTCCAATATCTATCATTGGAAGAATCGATTCTTGAATGTTGAACATTTTGGGAAATTTTTTTGGTCGAATCAGAAAAAGAAATGATTTTTTCTCTAGGGTTTTCCTTTTTCGGGGGTCGTTTCCTACATATAGAAAGGAATCGGGAGAAGGGAATTTGATTTGGTTGTCGGGGTTTTGGGTTTTTATAGGAAAAAAAGAAAAAAAATTTTGAAAGCGTGCCACTGAAGCTTCTCTGAAAGCGAGTGTCTTAGTATCCAATTCATGCGTATGTTTTCCTTATCTATGTTATTTTTTCGTTGATTTTGACGTTGTTTCGCGGTTTTGTTTGTCGGGTTGGCAACGTGGGAGAATTTTGGTGACGTGCAGATATTTCATTGGCTGTCATGCGTGCACTTGATAACGGCGGAGACAGTGAGCTGGGACTTCTATTGGTCAAAAACGGAATCTAGGGAAGAAACTGACGTGATCTTTGTTGGTTGGAAACTCAATGATTTCTAAAGTGTCAACCGTTAGATCCGAACTGTTTGCTTCGCTGGCAGATGAAGAAGATTGTGGTTCGTCAGATAGTACGAAAAAATTGGTAACACAGAGTAATATCTTAGCCAAAACCCTTGGGATTTTTCGGCTCAACTGTACTCGCCGCAAGAGCTGATAGATTCATCAAGCGAACACGTGGCTGAAATATTAAGCGAGTATTAAATGGTACGACGCACATACGAGGAAAGACAAAAGAAACTCCTGGCGCCAATGTGGGGAGCAAAGGTCTTTTTTCTTTTTTTTTTTTAAATTTAAATTCGTAGGTAATTGTCGGAGGTGGGCCGGCGCTGACAAGTCCTAGCCATATTAGCCCTTCAATTATAATCTCATTGTGAAATTCTGAAGCAAACAGCCGCCAAGCGCCAGGTAAGCTCTTTATGATCCTTGATCATTTTAATTATTTAGTTAATTTTACCTGTGCTCAAATGCGAATTTTGAAATAAAAATTTAACTCAATTAAATAATATAATTATTAAAATATGACGTTCAATAATTTTAAATTTTAAATTTATATTTATTTTTTATTTTTTTAAAATGAAGTTTTCATGAATTTCAATTTTTTTATAATGATTTGGAACAGTGAAAAGCGTCAATCTAATGTATAATCGTTTTTTTATGATAATGAGAAGTTGCGAAACGGTGAATTTCGAAATGGAAATTTAGATGTATAGCAACCTGTCAATTGCGTTTCTAACAAAGCTCGTGCCTAGTTGAATGAAAACATCGGTGCCCGCTTTGTTTCATATGGTTAACTAATGACTAACAATTACTGCTATGTAAAACATACCTAATTCTCACTTATGGATTTTGGGCTAGGATTTGTTGCAAGGGCTGGTATAGAGATAGAGGTGTTTGGTTGGCTGGAATGTTCTTTTTCATTTTTCTGGGTGGGTGCTAGCAATGGAAATATGATAGTATTTTTAGCATAGGTGCTGCAATCCCTTGGTCAACAATCAATGAAGAAGCTCTCTTTCACTTGAATTAGAAACAATATTGTGGAAAATGTCAATGCATATTCAAAATTATATAATCCCTCTGATTTCATTGGCAAATCCACCATACTCTTCTATCTTCTACTAGAGGTAGATGAGTAGGCTTAAGAAAAACACTGGTAGTAATAGGTTAGAATTTGCCTGCATGGGAGGGGACAGCTCCGCAAATTACTTAGGGGGAAGAAACAGCAGCCATGAACTCCTCAACGGATTCAAGGGCATTCATTGAATGAGCTGGAAGGCAAATCTTCAAATCTATACTTCCTCCACCTTCTTGTCCTGGATACGAGGAGACTTTCCCATCGAATTTATGAGTATATCCACTGCGAAGTGTCAGTGGTTTGTTCAACCTTGGTGAGCTTCCCATCATTAGACTTTGTAGATCAAAAGGTTGAGCAATCTGGTAAATGAAAGGTGAACGATGCCAATGATTGACAAAACCACGCATTGATTTGTCTGTGTGGTTTACCACAGCTTGGTGCAATTGCCAAGCAGCCCATCCGAGATTCTGCTCAAGCAGTTCACCAGCTGTGGCCGCTGCTCTCACAATTTGAATTGAGTTTCCAAAGTAATCTGGGGACAAGCGTGGTTCCAGTCTTTACCTGTTGTTTATAGCCAATCTACAACTAGTAACTTGTTCACCTAGAAAACGGCGTGCCTTTGTTATGGACCTCCAGACGAATGCTGATAAAGACTGGAAGAAAGATATCTAGCTGGTGTTGTATTCTGAATTGGCCCTTGCTTCGAGTTTTACAATGAATTCTGCTGAAAAGTGGAAGATTCTCTCTAAAAGTTGGGGTGCTTCAAGTCTCCTGATAAACTCATCTTGGTGAGTGAAAGGAAGGTTAAGCAATGGATTTGATTTTTTCAAATATTATATAATATTATAAAATTTTAAAATTTAATAATCAAAATTTTATTTTATTTGAACTAAATTGAATAGAATTTTATTAATTTTGTTCAGTTTAATTTCTTAATTTTTATTTTTTAAATTTTATATATTATTTTAATATAAAATTTTAATATATTTAAATAAATTTTAATATAAAATTATTATTTGTATTTTATAAAAATTAAAAATATATAAAAACAAATATATATATATAATTCGTTTTGATTCAATTTTTTTAAATTTTTTATTTTTTATTTAAAATTTAATCTAAATTTAATATATATATTTAATATTCAAAATTAATCGAAATAACCAAATACTATAAATTCAAATCAATTTTCAATCTTTTTCTCAACCTAGCAATGGGCCATGATCCTATGGAAATCACCTCTTAAGCACAGGTCGGCGTGAGATCTTTATATTATCTCCCAATGCTAGAAATATCTCGGAAAATGTAATGAAAAAAATGCCAGAAGAAGGTTCCATCCCCAAGAGCATGATTCATAGAACACCCTATGAATTTTTTTTTTTTAAGAAAAAAAGGGGTTGACCTGAGCAAACTGCACCGCACCGGGAAAGAAATAACCGTGTCGTTTTATAGACAGGAAAGTTTCGAAGAAACCCTACTTTGTCTCGGAAAGTTGATCTCCGCCGTACGATCGTTGATGAAATGAACTCTAGCGGTCCGATGAGTGTGGCTAAATACGTTAGAATTGGGCATGTATATGACACGTGGGAACATCAGCCGCAACGATTTCAGGCAGTTTCTTCCCCTTGGGTTTTTTTACGTCATCAATGCATTTTTGTTTTATTTTTTTATTTATACAAAAAAATAAAATTAAAATACTAACAAAATTTTAAATTTTTATCATATTATTTAAATAAATTTTTATATTTTTATTATATTTAAAAAATTTTTATTTATATTCAAATATATTTTTATTTCAAATAAAAATTTTATTTAAATATAAATTAAAAGATAAAGGTTTATTTATATACAAATTAAAGATTATAAGTAAAGATTAAAAATATATTTGAGTGTAATAAAAATAAAAATTTATTTAAATAAATTGATAAAATTTAAGAATTTTTTTATTATTTTAATTGAAAAAAAAAAAACAATTGTTTTCGAGAATTCTAATTTTTTGTCTTTTTCATTTCATTGTTGTTGACTTCCATGTTTAAGCCTACCATCAGAGGCTTGCTTGGCCCATTTAACAGGGCCCGATAAATTAACCTTAAATCTGGTTCAGTAATTTGCCTGGAGTGGGCCTCTTGGGCCAGTGGGTTTATGGTTCATTTGACTTTGCAGACTCTCACTTTTACACCCCACAAAGTGTGCCTCTTCCTACAATAATCTCTTCAACATTTGACTAATCACTCATTTGGTTTGAAATATTTAGATTCCTTTTTTCTGTCAGCAATTTTTTTTTTAATAAGCGAATTATAAATGATAAATCTAATATAAATTTTTGCTAAAACTTCTAGTGTGCTTTTAATATGGGAATGGACTTTTTGAAGAGGAGTGAGCGAGATAAGCCGAAAGACTAAAAACTAAAGAAACCTTGGGGCACTTGGAATTGGAACCTCATGTGTTTCTGGCAGTGTATTTGGCGCAGCCCTCTCCAACGGTGCGTTAATTACGTTCCTTACTTGGTGTTATGTAGTAAAGTACTCCTTTCTAGTTACCTTGACGGGTTAATTAGAGTTAGTCATGGTCATACTGGTGGTTCTGCCAGCTGGTGCTCCCGATGTTGTGCAGATTTCAAAGATAGATAGTTTAAATCTGCTTCGGTATTGTCAAGGTTCCATGGACGTTTGGTTGCATATATAATTGTTCCCAATCGCCACCGACCTGCTTAATTTGTTTTTACTTGTTGGATGTTTATGGAAAATGCTGAACAATTGTAATATTCCGGAAGACATATCTATATATGGCTTCCAACAGTTATATATGACGCTTGTGGTGACGATTTTTGGTCGAATTGATGCAGTATAAAGTTGTTTGACCCTGTTGGTGCATCAAAAACAATGACTTTTGCTTTCTGGTTTCTCCTTCCAAAAGGTTGGGATGGATGCAGGTAAACGTTGAATGGCTGATGGCTCGGTTTTGGTGAGTCCTGCATGCATCCGGAGGGTTTGTACCAGACCTAAGGGAAAAGGACAAGAATTGCTCATCCTTAATACTTAGCTAGCTAATTGGCAATGGCAAAGCCAAAAAAAACCATTTCTTTTATAGTTCACAGGCTTTTTGAATGATGTCAGTGATTCATTCTCGGTTACAGAGGTAAGGGTGAAAACCCTCCATTGCATTTGAAAACATATTCTGTGGGATAATGCTGCCATGAATTTCCCTCCCAGTTCCCAAACCTCAGTTGGGTATATATCAATATTAGGCCCACAAATCACTGTCAACTTTTGTTTTTAAATGCTTTAATAAATGTACGTCAATTAACCACCACAGACAAATCTGGCCCACAGATCACTATCAACTTTTGTTTTTAAATGCTTAAATGAATGTACGTCAATCAACTCGCCAGCAAACAAGTTGATAGATTATAGTTGCAGCTTTACAGGGGCCCTCGAAGCAATAGAATCATGTATATCATAATACTCCATTAGATAGATCATGCATTTTAATTTTTTACTATTATTTTGATTTTCGAGAACACACCTACTTTTGTTTCTCAATTTTGAAGAAACTCAAAGATCAAAGATTCAAGGGGAGTACTGAGAAGGCTTAGCTTAAGGGGATGAAAGTGTGGACTTCAGTGTCCATGGGTGACTGCTTTTAACCTGAAAGCTTCGTTTCAACTGTAGTCAAAAGGATCATACAGCTAAAAACGCAATTCTCCAGCGGAGAGAGATCGAATAAAGAGTGACGCCAACCCGCTTTGGTTTTAAGTCAGGAATAAATAAGCAGTAGAGTAAAAGCAGAAGCCTTTGCCTTTCTTCTTTCCCGAAACAAGAGAAAAGAAAAGAAAGAAAAAGGTATAGCACATCATTATCACAGCAGATCATAATGGGAACAGATTTTTCGTTTTCAAACAGTTTTTTTCCTTCTGTTTTCCTTTTCTTTCAAACCCTTTCATCTGCCTTCGGATCGCAATGGGAATAGCTCCAGAGTTCTGTTTTCCTCCTCTTTACATGATGATCTGCTTTCTTCTTCTAAGTACTCAAATGACCAGCTCCTGCACTTCCTCTTATATGGACTATCCTCCTCTCTTTCCATTATTTCCACCTAGAAAACAACGCATGATAATTTCATATAAGCTTCATGTTTATATAAGGAAAAAAAAAGTAAAACTAACCTAATATATTTAAATCGAGGGGTTTTTTTAGTAGGACGTACCCTATTATCCAAAGTTATGGTAGTAATGGGAGCTGAGTTTCTCGGACAAGGGAAAAGTCCAAGGCTTTTGCGCTTCTGCTTTTGTCTCTCGCGTGCTTTGTGGTTTTGGAACCAGTAGAAAACGTTTTTGCCTTCGATCTTCCCGTACTTTCCTAGCTGCGCAGTGATTTGTTCTATTTGTTGTGCATTTGGAGTTCGCATCCCACCTCTATACAACATCTCCAAAATCCCTATCTGCTCTTGCGTTGGATTCCACCGCGTACCTCCTGGGTGCGTTTCCACCTACATGATATAAATTTTCTGCTTCATAAAACTTCTTCCAATATTCTTTACGAATTACTTGATTAAGTTTCCATTGTCACTACTTATCAAACATATATATAAATAGCTTAAACTCATAATTACGACATAAAAAATCAAGAGATCTTAATTAAGTTCAAAATATCATCCCTTTCCTTAAGTTACGGTTGGAAAAAAATGGGGTTTACCATTTCCGTAATTGTACATATTTTTAGCTAATCGGGTGTAGGTCGATGACAGGGTTGTTTATTGCAGGGGCTGCTGAGTCATAGTAAGCCAAGTTGACAGTAATGAAAGATCGAAAGGTACATGAAATAATGTAAAAGAAAATTATGAAGTAAGACATAAGAGTGAAGGTGCAGGCCATTAATCACCTGTGGAGAGTCTCGCTTGTCATCGGATGGGCCAAGCTTTCTAGGGCCACTTTCGGGTCTAATGAAGCTCTTAAGGTCAAAAGAGGAAAACCCCTGATCAGTAGAGGTGGGCTGCAGCTTGGGAGCAAGAGGGCGTAAGCGCTTGCAGCCAAGGGAGAGGGATGGTTCGTGCTCCCAGAATCCACGTGCCAACTGATGCACCCTCATGTTTCCCATGGTGAAGGAGTGAACGATGGAGAGTTGTGAATTATATAGAAGACTGAGAGAAAGCAAGAAAGAAGAAAAACTTAAAGCCAACCAAAAGGAAAAAAGACAGTGGGATATGAGGTGGTGCTTTGAAGAACCAAGACCAAATGATGAGGTGAGGTTGACTTATGATTTCCCATATTTTAAAAACCAAAAGAAAAAGAAAAAAAAAGGAAAGAACCAAAGATAAAAAGAGGGAACAGAAGACAGAAGAGAAGGAAAAAAGGGGGGGGGGTTTTGGCGTATGAGCGTGTGGGTGAATGAATGAGTGCTTGAATTTGTGCTTTGTAAATGCGTGTGAGTTGGCCAGTCTAATCAGGTTGGTTCTTGCTTTTCGGTGGCCTGTTTTTTGCTTCCTTCTCAGTCACAAACCTCTTCTTTTTCCTGTAAAGCGATGGTGGGAGAGGAATGAAAAAATATTCCTCCAATCCCAAAACTTGAAAATGGAAATCTTTCTTTGCTTTCCAAGATACCGATAAGGTAAGACAGAAAGAGAGAGGGGAGATGGTGAAGGCCGTCGCTTATCTATCTTTAACAGGTAGAGAAAGTTGAAAAAACCCAACCAAAAACTCATAAACAAAACAAAAATTATTCCATTTTTTGAGTGCATGAGCATGACAAATATCCCCAAGAGCCACTCTCCTCCTCTACTTTGGGAACTGTTGCTCTCAATTTCCCAAAATTCTATATTCTAATCTTAAATATCCAACAAATCCCACTATTTTTTTTTATGTATTTTTGACAATATCTCTGGCGACTAATGAAAAAAAATAAAACAATGGGAAATTTATTTAAAATAATAATATTTAATTTTATTTGAATCAATTTTTTTTTATTTTAATATATTTTAAATATTAAATATATAAATTAAGTTTAGATTGAATTTCAATTTAGATCAAATTAATTTAAAAAATTTTGATTCGAATTCAAATTAAATTTTAAAAATTCATAATATTATATATCATTCAAAAAAAATCAAAATGAATACAATTCAATCTAACCATTATCAACTCTTACTAATTCTTACAATATGCAACCAAACATATGAACATGCAATTCTTGATATATTAAAGAAATCCAAATTCTTGTACGTATAAATTTGAGTGTGGTGAATGTAGTAATTGCATGCTCCACTTTGTGTGATGAGGTTTGAATATGGAACTGGATTTTATGACCACAATCACAGGATAGTTAAACACTTTGGAAGCAATTGAGTGGGTTCAGCACCTGTGACTGCCCATCTGACTCTAACCACACATGTGCTTCAATTATACAAACAGCTCTCTGCTTTAAGATACGATAATAAAAAATAGTTGTAATAATAGTAGTAAAATTTTCTTTCTTCTTTTTCTTGGTTTCTGAAGGTAATTTTTCTTCTTAATTTGTCTTCGATTGATCAGCTGAGTTGTTCTATCAAACCCCTTTGATTAAGGGAAGGATTCTTAGGGCACCGTACTTGTGTAGATAAAATATCTGATCTCCCTAAAAAAAAAAAAAAAACTATTAAAAAGGGTTAAATCATGAAAACACATTTTTACATTTTTTTAACGACAATAGAAATTTTCAAAATTATAGAGATATTCGTTCAGTCAGTTTGATTAATTTCAAAATGAACTATTCAAAATCAAATTAAATCGAATCATGTTATATTATTTTTATTAATCGAATCGAATTTTTTAATTTTTTAAGATTAGTTTTAAAATAAAATTAAAAAAAAAAGAAAGAAAGAAGAGTGCCATTATTAGTAAGTGGTCACTCTCATGCTTTTTACAATAAATTTTGCTTGTTATTTCGTGCTTGCTCAAGGCAAATTTTGCAATATGGTCAATAATCAAACTTACAATCCCTCATTTCCTCTTCTTTCTCTATTTTTTTTCAAAGTTACCGGTAAGACTTGAAGACCAAAACGAAAGCAGCTTCAAGAAAAACATGACTAAATTTCATGTTCTTGTAAACTTTTCATTGAAATTGTATGGATAAAGTTGATATGTACATTTCTTTGCACTGATTTTGCGGGGTTGAAAGTAGGAAGGGCTCGAACCAATAATATTGTCTCTTTAATTTGAATATATATATTTAACAATAATTTTCTAGAAGAAGTTAGAAAAAAATGTCACAAGTTAAAGTTTCACAGGAAAGAAATCAATAATTGGATTGGAAATGTCATTTTCTTATAAAATAGAAAAGAGCAAAACATCATGTATCTCAAAATTAATCTTGCTGCAATTGATTTATACAAAACTTATATCGAGCTATCTTTGTAAAAAAAAAAAAAAAAAAAAACCCTAAATTCTAACAAAAATTGTCCTATTACAGTCATGCATATCTACTGTCATAGATACCTCTTCTATCATCAAATAAGGGATTCAACGTTAGAGATTTTGTTGCCAGGTTGATGTGACCTTTCTCCTTCCCTTCCGACCTTGAACTTGCCATGCACTGCCAGGAGGAGCCGGATATTGACAAATTTGCCTGCAACCCTGTTTGAAATGTTGCTTTTGCAAAACAGCTCATTCTAAGCTCTTCCATGTGGATTTTCCCCAGCAGGAATGACAATGGTGGAATCATTAGATCTTGTCAATTAGACTCACTCTCTTTATATATATCTAAAAGGTTTGAAAATAAAAAAAAAAAATTATAAAATTTGAGATTCGAATATTAAATTTAATAAATATTATTTTTTAAAAAATAATTATATTTTTTAAAATGTCATATAAATCAAATTGTCTCGATCTTTTTACATTAATTAGAAAACTATTAAAATTAAGAATGAATATAAATCTTAAAATTGAAACTGAAGCAAGATTTGAGCTGTGAGGATATGGCTAGTTGATGCACATGCACGAAGATAGTAAAAGAAGTTGAGATAAAAATCTACCATAATCATATTCATTGACGATTCGATACTTCAACAAAAGAGATCTGTAAGACAAAAAACAGTTAAAAAGGGTTGAAGTTTTTACTCCGATAAGCCTTTTGATAGAATAAAAAGATAACAGGAAAGCTGTCAAATGAAAAGATGCTTGGTGAAAAATCCTTCTGCCTGTTTCTTGAAAAGAGAAAGATTACTTGGAAAAGGTGATCTATTTCGAGGTTAACCACGATTGGGCAGGTGGTCATTTCTAGCTTGACGACAATGCGTGGGATAATCATATCAGTGTTGACATCTTAGATTACCGGTTGAGCCCCATACAACATCTTTTTGGCCTCGTGTAATAAGCTTGATGATCCCACAACTGATCTCCTTCAATCACGACAACACATTATAAACAATTATTTTTCCCACTTATTTTTCCCTTTCCCCACCCCTACGTACATAGGCAGCATGATTCTGTACCTAATCTTATTTTGTTTTGAAATTTGCAAAATATATCACATGTCAGGCTGGTTACCTTTTTTTTTTAATTTTCTTTTTCTCTGCTTCTTTTATGGGCAAATTAAGGTTTTTTTTTTTATTTTATATGCTATTAATATTAAAATCAATTGCAAATTTTTGTATTCTTACTAGGTTGTTTTTATTATATGTAGTGATTGAGAATGAGAGGATTTCCATTTTGTGTGCATATTATTAATCACATCATCTTAATATTTTTGCATTATGATTAAAGTTTGAATTCCAAATTTTTAATTCTAAATTTGATTTCAGTATTACTAAGCTAATAACTCATTAATAATGAAATTACCGAAATTGTTTTGTGCTTAATTAAGTAGATCAGATGTTATGCTAAATTAATGGTTGATAATGAATTGGTAAGGTACCGGAAAAATGAATGTGGGGTCTTGCAATAATTCAACAAAAGCAGCAATGGATCAAGTGTCTAGAATTCCACATTTTGGATCACAAACCACCAACAACAAAGACTAAGCAATTGCAGGCTCCAAATGAAGAAAAATTTCATTGTCTTATTCGACAATAAACGTTGGATGACCCAGTCACCAAATGACTTCCAAGCTGAGTTGTGGGGAAAAGATCCAAAATTGGAAATGCTGATCAGATTGTAGGACACTTGTTGTGAAATGAATGGACAGTCAAAATTGATGATGGGAATGCTCATAGTAACACACAATTTTCTTCCTAAGCTATGAAAAAATGGGTTTGTGTCAGGTTTTTTTGTTTTGGAAATTCGTGAAATGGAGGGATTTTGTGCTTGTGTGTCGGTCAAAGAAAAAGAGGACTTTGTGAAATAGAATTTGCATGATAGGAGTGGATCCCACACAGTGGAGGAAACGGTGGGAATCCATCATTAGAAAGACAATGCCATCATTTTCGTGTGTCTATGGACCCAATTCCTTTTCGGCTTGTAGCCCACTGATCATATGGGTTACAAAAGCCCACTTTAACCACTAAACTATAATCTTAAGGTTTTCCTTTAAATACATATAAAAGAAAATCAATGCATGGGATAGTTTTATTACCCTTGGAGCTGCTAACTCTAACAAATATCAAGAGCATATCTCATGATGATTCAAAACTTAAACCCACATATTTATCAAAAAAATCAAACATAAAGCTGAATTCTAGCATGGATAGATATCTATATATAGGAAAGAATGAGACTAGGAAACTGTTAATTTTATGCTTGGGAAGTTCATTATCGAGCTAAAGGGGCGGTCCATAGCGTACATAGTATGTCGGTAGGAGGAAAAGTCATGACATGTGATGTGGCCATCTTCTTCCACTTTTGCAAATGATTTTATATTTCTATATGTACTCTAGTTTTCGTTTTGCTTGGGAAACCTTTTCAGCTTTGAGATTGATAGAAAGGGTTGGATTGATCATGTACATTGTTTGTTTAACTGACCTATCTCCATATAAAGCCAAATGTGAGCAGCAGGAGCGCATCATTGTTTTTAGATGGGGTATGATCTGTTTAAACTTAGCTCGTGACTTTTTGGTTCTACAGTGTAATTCTCATTGCTTTTTCGTTTCTCCCTTTTGCCTTTTTTTTCTCGAGAAAGAGGGAAAGAAAAGAATAGAGAGGAGGAGCTAGCATGATCGCATGGTTAGAAATCTGTCATGTCGTGTAAGGGAAAAAGGGTGGAAATGTGCAGGGAAAGGCATTTGGTTCCAAAAGTGT